TTTAAATTGGGGGTGGGTGGTTATGCAGATGCAAGTTACAGGTAAAACAGGTTACCAGTACCTTATCACTTAATGGATTAAGACTCCATTGTGGTCATTGAAGCCTTCTATTACTGATAAAGCACTTTTAATATGTAATTTACATCTGTAAATTTGCATCTGTCTTATGTATTTCATGATAACACATCTTGTAAGCTAACAATCAATGTTTCCTTCTGCAGCCCACAATTAATAATATATGCGTTGTGCATAAGATGAGACTAGAACTCAGTCCCCCAGTTTCTAGGCTGGCACCTTAAACCAATTCAGCAAACTAGCTCTCTGACTCTTAAAGCAGTGACACTTTTTTCCCATGTTCAAGTGAAAGCTCAAATAATGTTGGGCTGCTTTAATGAATACCGAAGACATATTGCACCCTGCAAGTTCCAGAATAATGTTCGAAGTATACATAGCCCTCTTGCTGTAAATAAAGATTGCAGGGTTTTTTCCATTTCCATTTGTTTTTAATTAAAAGTGTCCATATAAGATGGTAAAGGTCAAGGGATTTATGGACACCTGCTGCACATGTATACCACATTGCTTAATCCAAAAACTAGAGAATGACCATGAGTATTTAAGGAGATGAGCAATCTGAGCAATAAAGATACCAGTTTTGTCTATTTACACACAAACTCCTCAACTTGTTACACTCAATAGCCGAGGAATCGGGTCTGACCGCTATTGGAAATTGCATCATTTGGAGAATATTATATGACGCTGCTGGGTAATTCTTTTTTGCACTGACATAAACTATGAACATCTCAGGAAATTGATGGAATATCAGTGTGAAAGCATTAGTATTTTGAGAATCTTGGGCAACACAGAAGAGTGCATCAGGAATGAAGGACAGGAGAAATGTCCCACTGCCAAGCTAATGGTCAGATAAGAGGCACTTGAACCTTGGCCAAGAAAATAACTTGAGAAATGTCTTAGACATGCTCCTCCCTTAGTTCAGACAAAGATAAAGTAAGGGAGGGGGGAACCACATTCAGACTTGTAGATTATGTTACTGCAGATGTGACAATAAAAATAGTCCTGACTTATATGGCATTGGTTTCCTAGCCTGTGCTACCAAGTTGCGTTTACAAGACCTCATTCCACAGACTGTTCCATAAACCTGTCATAAAAAAATCTGGTCTTAGGAATTAAATTATGGATAAATATGGTTGAATATTATGATCTCTTAGCAAGAGAATTGTATCGGGTTGGAATGCACATTGCCATTAAATTACAGCTCATCTCCTTGTCTTTTGGCATATTTTTGTCAATATATCCACTAGGGAAAGGAAGACGGAGTGCCCTGCTATACCTCAAATGCCATGAATGAAAAATGATTATGAATAACTAATAGACGTAGGCACAATTTTCTTTTATAAGCCACAGTGACATCAAAATTATGGGATTGTGAAACTGATTCATCATGTCTTGGCGAATCAGCTCAGCCAGTCAAGATGAGGGCAATTCAGTTCACAGAAGCCAATAAATGCTCAAATGTTCATCTATCCTAAGAAATTGGTGATCAAACCCAGTTGTTTGAGCTGTGGTGGCGCAGTGGTTAGAATTCAGTATTGCAGGCTAACTCAGCCGACTGCCAGCAGTTCAGTCCTGACCAGCTCATGGTTGACTCGGCCTTCCATTCTTCCAAGGCTGATAAAATGACCCAAACTGTTGGGGGCAATATGCTGACTCTGTAAATTGCTTAGACAAGGCTGTAAAGCACTGTGAAGTGGTATATAAATCTAAGTGCTATTGCTATTGCTTTTTTTCTTTACCGAAAGAAATGTTTAGATAGATATTAATAGTTTAATTTTGTACCTTTTAACTCTTATACCATGGGACAATATATGTTTGTTTGCATATGTATACATTATTTTTTCATTTCCTCTATGAAAACTAGCATTTATATTTTGTGACTTTTCTCTTAAATATATATATGTATCGCAGTAGCGACTTGAGCCTGCTTAACGCCCCTAGTTGGGGGGGCTGCAAGGCAAAAGTGATTATAAAAAAGTAGAACTGCAGTATAGCAGTCAAAAATGCCAAGGTGCAATCAATCAGACCTGTCTGTCTGAAAAACTTTCAGCTTTGAGGCACGAAGCTGAAAGCACCAGCCTGAAGATGACGAATGGGACTTCGTCGAAACGTCGCCAAGACACTTCCAATTTTACGTGGGAGAAAACCCGAACAACCAAAGACCTACATATATATATATATATATATATATATAAACTTTCTGTGTATGTATGTATGTATATATATATATATATATATATATATATATATATATATATATATATATATATATATATATATATATATATATAAACTATCCAGTACTGGAGTTCTTTGGACAGTTTGTTAATTAAGAACTGAAAATATAGGGAAATAAAACAAGGACAGTAAAACAGTTCTGATGAATAAAAATAGAATCATAACCCCCCATAAAAGGGTCTGCAGGAGAGAAAAAAATAGATAACGATGATTTTACCAAATAAGGCAGCATATGGAAGAAGTGAACAGATGGGGAATCCTAATGCCTTGCATTCCCCTGAATCTGGAAGAAGAGATGGAGAAAAATAATAACTTGGATTGAGCTAAAGAAAGAATTGGAAACAAATTTAGATAAGGGAGGGAGTTGAAAGTATGTATTAGGTATAAGTGTCAAAAGATTATTTTTCATGTGTTGTGCTGAACAACTAAAAATAATTTACAGAGAGTGGGCTTAGGAAGCAGTTATTCTCAGTCAATAAACTGTCATACAGTCATTGACCAAATCATTAAAAAAAGACAAATATTCTAGCTGTAGCAAATAAAAATGGAATAAAACTGAATATTATAATTAATAAATGGTGCTGTTAAAATACAACATATTTTACAAGCAATAAAGCAAAACGTAGCCACATTCAGAGAAAGGAAAACTAAGATCAGGCAATAATAATTTAGACAGAATTAATCTGAATCACCTGGAAATGAAGAACAATTATCACAGGGGAGAAGTATGTGATGATCTAGAAGTTTCCTTGTCTACCAACGTACTGTATGTGTGATCACCTTTTCTTCAGAAGTAAAATATATTGCTACAGAGAGACAAATTAATGGAGGAGAGTGAGGTTGTTCAGTTGAGTAGTAGCTATGAGGAAGGACCTCAATCCTGGAATATTGTATTTTTTAATCTCTTCATTCTTTGATCACTTTAAAACAGAACCATGTTCTCGTTTCAAGAAAGCTCATTGAATAAGCCTTTCTAAGAAGGCAATGGATGGAAAAGTTTTTCCTTCTCTTTTTGCTATTATGAGGAAATAATTTAAAGATTCTAGAGATCAAGGCCAGCATCAAACTGAGATAAGAAAAGCATTAAAGGCAGGTGTATACTTGCAGAGGCATGCATATATTGTAACACTGGTTTATCATTTATTCTCCCCTCTAAGAGAAAGGTTAAAATCGGCATTAAGATGTGGCTTGAGGCTACTTTTACAGCTCTTCTCCTAGACAGGCTTGCAATTTTTAATTAGTTTGGTGCCCTTTGCAAGAAAGGATTGTTAATGATGGTAAGGCCAGAAGTTCCCAAAGAAAACAAGCAGGCTACCAAGAGAGTTTTACGGGCTCACATACCTTCTTGTTTCTAAATGAAGAGAAGATTGTTTTCTACTGCTATTTCTACTGTGGCTTCTCTCCCCCCCCCTCCCGAAATTGCCAAACAGACTAATCAAAAGTAGATCTTTTTTTTCCCCTTTTCATTCACCAAAGAGTCCTATTTTGCCTTTAACAGGAGGGTGGGTTCTGTCCCCTTTTTCTACATTCCTCTTTATTTTGGCCTTGTAGAGGCCGATCCCAGATAGAGACAAAAGCAAAGATTATAAGGGAAAAATGGGTCCTCTTAAGGCAATTGAAAATGATTCACTCGGCTCTGTGATTCATCTCATAGTTCCCCTTCAAAAACCCTTTGAGTGCATATTACTGCAGCTGACATTTGGACAACCAACATATAATAATAATAATAATAGTAGTAAAGTTGGAAGGGACCTTGGAGGTCATCTAGTCCAACCCCCTGCTCGGGCAGGAAACCCTACACCATTTCGGACAAATGGCTGTCCAGTCTCTTCTTAAAAACTTCCAGTGTTGGAGCATTTACTGCTTCTGGAGGCAAGCTGTTCCACTGATTAATTGTTCTCACTGTCAGGAAGTTTCTCCTTAGTTCTAGGTTGCTTCTCTCCTTGATTAGTTTCCACCCGTTGCTTCTTGTCCTGCCTTCAGGTGCTTTGGAAAATAGCTTAATTCCCTCTTCTTTATGGCAGCCCCTGAGATATTGGAATACTGCTATCATGTCCCCCCTTGTCCTTCTCTTCGTTAAACTAGACATACCCAATTCTCGCAACCGTTCCTTATATGTTTTAGCCTTTTTTTTTTTCCTCTCTCTCCAGAAAATGGAGAATAACAAAAGGTCTTGGGTTCTCTACAAACCGAAAGCTCTATTATGGCATAAAGTAGTGAAGTCAGGGGTCCCTTTGGCAGATACGCTGACATGGATTCAGTCTTTCCCACAATAACGTCATTTTTCAGAGGCTACATGTCAGCTCACTATGCTTCCTGGTTAGCAACTACCGGTATCGCTATATCCTAGCAACATTGAAAGGATGCTAGATTGTTCAAAAAAAGTGCCTCTTACTCACAAAATACTACAAACACCAACTTACTGCTGTCTTCTCCTTGGCATTTAAAACCCCTTGCACACAAGCACCCAAATTTAGTTGTATTAGTATCCCAGTCAGGGAGAGCTCTGCTGTGACCACTTAATCCCTTCCTTCGGGGTTCTGGCTTTTAGGGATGCCCTGAAAGGATCCTTCCAGCTATCACTGTTGGAGTGACATGCGCTAAGCCAGCTGGAAACCTGCCCTCTAGTAGTACTGTTGCAAGTCTGAAGTTGTGCAACACCTTTAGCAAACACTTCCTCATGTAAGGGCATGAATAAAGCTGAAGCACTCATTACTTACTTCTCACAGTCAACAGGAGAGCAGCTCAGGTTGGCAACTACTTGCCTGAAAGTGGAAAGAGATTCCTTGTCCTCCAGCCAAATCCAGGATCCAAAATGATCCAAGCTCTGTTGGTTACTCTATGTTTAGCAATCTTTCCATATCAAGGTAAGATTTTTCATCAGTTTCATTTTTTCAGATTCTTACGGCTAAAAGACCTGACAGGTTTCTATGGTTTTTCTTTTGATGATTAACAAGCACTTTCCCCAAAGAATGTTCTCAAAGATCTCGTTTGTGCTAACATTACATACAGGCTTTTTTGTATTTGCTTAAATGTTGTCAAACAGGAAACGGATCCTAAGAAAGAAAAAGTCCTAAGATCCTAAGAAAGAAAGCACGTTCAAGTTAAAGGGAAAGTTTTCCAACAATATGAGTAAAAACAGATTAGAAGACTGAAGAGGACAGAGAGTTTGTGGGAAGAAAATTTCAGGAAGCAAAATGTTAAAGGAAAAATAAATGTTTTTCAGTTTTAATTTTCTTCCAATTGACATCCTGTAATTAAGCTTGCCTAATGTTCAGCCAAACAACAGCTAATGTTATTGTTATCTTCAGAGAATCTTCAAACTTGTACTCAAACTAATGTGAGATACTTACTTTTCTCCATACAAGATTTTCTGATTTCTGCCAGTTGGCAGCACAGAAATGCAGATTTTATTTTCCAGTTAGCACAGGTGAATTTTCTTTAAAATCCATGTTAACTATGAGCTTAAATACTTTCCCTTTCATATGAGACTTCCGAGAAAATTTATTTAGTATGGTATGGAAAGCTGTATTCATGAAACATGCTTAACTAATTTGGTGGAAGTCCTGGCAGGGGTATCCACTAATGGGATATACTCTATTATAACCTTTTGTTATATAGTTTTGGGGTTTAGTAGACAGTATCTCTAGTTGGTAAATTTAAATAGGGCTCAGTGTACCATGCTGGTTTAAGGTTGTGGCATGAACCACTTTCAAGGCAGGATTCAGAGTGAGGTACAGTACGAAGATCTATTTTGGTCACACTTGTTTTTGATCTGTGGTAAGCCTAGGATGTGGGTAGTGCATTCATCCTGATTTCCTTGATCTCTCAGCAGCCTTTGATGCTATCAACCATGGTATCAAAGGCTGCTGAGGGGGTTAGAAGTGGGAGGCACCACCTTAGGAACATGGAGTCTTTCCATCTTTGGTTCTGCATGGAATAGCACACTCCATTCAGAATTGATGAGCAATCTGGGGATTCTTCTGGATTTATAGCTCCTACTTGAAGAGCAGGTGGCAGATGTGGCCAGGGGGACCTTTGCACAATTGCATTTTTGTACTAGTTGGGTCCATTCCTTAGCTGGAAGGCCCTACTTGCATTTACTCATGTCTTATGTCATTTCCTGATTGGACTACTGCAAAACATACTTCATGGGGCATATATAGTCCTTGAAGACTATCTAAGCTTCAGAAACAGTACCTCAAGTCCACCCTATGCTTCTTCCATTTGTGCGCCTTTCCTATGCAAGATAATGTTAGTCAGGAAGAAGAAAACATAGTGTCTTTCTTGTAAGTAGAGGCAGAGACTGGTTGCTTTAAGATATCTGAAGGGAATGGGGAACTGGATCAGAATTCACTGTATAATATGCACACTTGGACCTGATCAACCAGAATCAGCACTGTGGCATGGAAGGAGAATGCCTTTAACTCTCTCCCACTTCTTTCTTCAATCCTGCTATTTGCATTAAAGCATGTGTGGTTAACCGGAGCTTGGGATGGCTAAGCTAGCTGTGGAATTTTGAGAGTTGAAGTTCACGCATCTGGAAATTGCCAAGGTTGGGAAATCTTACTCTATATAGTCAGATAAACAGCCATTGGTCCCTTAGAGGTTCTTCTAATTAGAAGTTTCTGAGCAAAATAGCAAAGTGTCTATTTAAAAAGCAAGTTCCTAACCAGACAAATCAACAATTCCACACAGGGAAGGAGACACTGTGTTATTTCAGGCCAAATCATTCTTTGTGTGAACCCCACTTGAAGTTAGCTCACAGGTTCCTCACATCCATCCATTTTCTTATGAAAAATTAAACATGACTTCATGCTTTCAAAGCATCCCAGAATTAAGAATTTTGTTTCTACCACTCCCTCTAATGAGGTAGCTGAATGTTTGCTTGCCAGCAGGAAGAATAGAAGAGATTAGTGTGCCAAACCTTAAAATATACGCCAATAGAAGTTCTAATCTTTAACCTTAAATTTAAAGTTTAATTTAAATGCAATCCAGTTTTTGGATTGCTCATATCCACTTTTTGGAGTACACACCAGGTATGGTACCTAAAGATCAAATATGGCCCTTGGTGGGGAGAGGGGAATGCACACCTCTGTTATAGGGATTGTTATATACCTTGACCCTCTTCTTCACCATGTTTTGAATCTGTTCTACTTGTTTGTGTTCTTCTGAAAGGGTCATACCAGAGACAATACCTTTGGCATCTTTTGAGTTATTTCCACCATTCATAGCTTGCTATGTAAGATCCATACTATGGATATAGTATATCCTGCTCCTTTGCTGTCAAGCATTCCTATGTAATGACCTGTAATATAGACCTACTGTATTTACTCCCTAATTACTTTGCTATTATTCAAGCTCAAGTGTAGGTTGTCTGCACAGTTTTTTTTTAAACTCTCTGAATTACTCACCACTACTAATGTTTTATAGCTTCAGGCTGGTATTAGGGTTTAGGTGTTATAAATATACAAGTGGTTTTCAAAGAAGTAAGCAGCTGAAGGACCTTTTACCTGTAAGGCATGTTCCTTCATGACCTGTGTGAAAAGAACAGCCCTTGTGAAACAGTCCTTATTGAAGGGATGATTCCAGATTAACATAGTTCTTCAGGCATATGTGTATTAATTTCAGGGGCCTTTTGGGAGGGATCAGATCTCTGACAAAAACCAACCATCCTCTTTTTCTGCAGCCTGCTATGTGAGGAGGAAGACAAGACGGAAGGAGAACATTAGAGAAGGAGAATGACTAATGGCCCTTCTTGCTTTTAGCTTTGTCCCTGTCCAATATTGGTACATTTATACAGCCTCCAACAAATTGTAACGTGTATGCAAACAACTGCTTTGAACTTACTGTAAACTACCTTAAGCCTGACTGTAAAAACAAAACAATTTTTGTAACAGAATTGTCAAAGTCTGGAATATCTTACCTGATTCAGTTGTTTCAATTACTGTCACAGTTTTAATTCCAAATTAACTTCTGTGGACTTCATTCCATATTAAAGAGGTTCCTAAGGGGGCATGCCTAAGTGCAACTAATATGCCTATTGTCCCTGTCACATTTTAGTTCTTTCATGTTGTCCATTGGGATTTATAATTTTTGTTTTATAAATAAATAAAATAAAATAGTGTTTGTGGGAGAAAAGCCTCCAACAGAACCTGTCCCTGTCCACAAAATGGTTTTTTTTTGGCAAATTATCCACAACAGGTTATGACATGACACCCTGAGTTATTGCAGATAACCAGTATAATACAGTAGATAAAGGTTAGTCAAGAGTTTGGGAAGGCCATGTTAGAATCCAAGAAGGCAAAGTCCTGAGCATACATATATGTATGTATAGAATTATTCTGAATCATAAACCAGGAGCTGGAGCATTTTGTTTCTCTGCTCAGATACTCATTTCCTTTAGGATTAGGGAAATATCCCTAATTGTAGAGAAATATTTAAATCTTTGTTGGCATCCCATTCATCTTCTGATGAACATTACAAAAGGGACTTTCAGAATGGATTTGTCAGCTCATCTCAGAGTCTAGGCCAGGAAAGAGGATTGTAGAAATGTTGAACCAGACCAAAAGACTCCAAAGCACAAATGCACCAACCATCCTCTTTTTCTGTGGCCTGGTGAGACAGAAGGAGGACATTCCTTCTGTTTCTGTTTCAGGTATAGGTGATTCATAATTCCCTCTCTGACCGATTCATCCTTGACTTTATATGTTCTTGATAAATACGCTTACACTCATTCACAGCCCAACCCTCACCCACATCTTTGAGAGTCAGACTATTTACTTTTAAAGCTGAAGGCAGGGAGTTTTCTAGTTTCTGGTTGAAGAGCAGTTCGTACAGTAGCCTCAGGCCTTGGGAACATCTACATTTTACTTACAACAGGGACAATGATGAATGGAATGAAAGAAAGCTGGTTATGTATTTATTTCTTTAGTAGTACAGTATTTATTCGCTGTCCAAAAGCATAGTGAGAGAATGCATTTATTCAAAACACATAGCAATGAAAATAATATTAGCCCTCTGAGGTAGTCCCTGCAACTAGCACAGCCATGAATATTAATTCTCTATAAAGTTACATTAACAGCATCTTGCCAGACTGAAATGATTTCTTCTCTCTCTGCTTTTACTCTCCAGAAAACCAGGGATGATTCTTTCTGAAATGCTTCCCACGTTCTCCTTCCTTCTGTGGGCTAAGATACCTTTCGCATGCCTATTGACCAGTCTGTGTCTCTTCCTGCTGTCTCCTAAGCCATTCCTACTTATCATTACAAATAATGATACTCAACTGATTCAGATGGTTGCCCAAACCCCATTAAGAGTCAGAAGCTCACTGGGGTAGCCCTGATTTAAAAAAAAAAGCAAGGAAAAATGGGGTTTGTTCTTACCAGGAGGCAAACTTCCAAAATTAGAACAATAATTGATGGAGAACAATATGGTAAAGAAGAAAGGGATGTGGCATTGCTGCTTTTTCTGTGCTCTAAGTAGGAGAGAATAGTAACCTTTTTTGCCAGTAGGGCAAGCAACTGTACCTCTTCCATGTTTCTGGGAGCATCAAGTACAAACGGGCAGGTACATAAAAGTATGAGGAAGATGTAAACTTTTGGCTGGGACTACCTTTGGAAGATGTCCATCAGTCTTAGAAGATACATTTCCAAGGCCAAATGCTTAGAGTTCAGTCACTCTCTACCTCAGTGGTGGCGAACCTATGGCATGTGTGCCAGAGGCAGCACTCAGAGCCCTCTCTGTGGGCATGCGCATCGTGGCCACTAGTAGCTTGCGCAGGTCCATTAGGCTGCTGCCGCCCAGAGCAGCAGCCCCGCCCAGCACAAAGCATCAAGCTCGAGTAGAGATGTTAGAGTATCAAGGTGGCCACATCCACTCAGTCTGCTGTGACCACCCTGGCCATGCCCACCCGGTGGGCCACACACCCCGCCCTCCCTGAGGGAACCACAATGCGGATGCGGCCCTGGCACTTTGCAATAAATAAGTGGGTTTTGGGTTGCGGTTTGGGCACTCGGTCTCTAAAAGGTTTGCCATCATTGCTGTAGGTGTTTGGATATTAAGTTGCCCCTCCACAGAGTGGCTATTCATATTTTACTTTATTGCCTGGCTTTCACTTGCAGTTACAATTACAATTATTGTTGTCCTTTTTTATAATGTGTACGGGTTAATTAGATGTTTACAACATGATAGAAAGATTAGATTAAAGAGTAAATAAATCAATTACTTTGCTAGTCTCCCAGTTGCAACATCTACTGTAGGACAAACAATCCTGAGTTGAATCAGCTTCTGGTAATTATATGGCAATAGTCATGTAGTTGCTTGGCTGCAGGATGGAAGTGGTTTTCCACTACTTTCATTCTTCATCGGTAACTGAATAACAGATTCAGTGCTGTAGATGTCAAAAAGGTAGAATAACACACTAAAGTGAATTTTTTTTTTCTTTGTGAAGGGAGCTCTACAAAGGAGTCCTGGAAGCTTAAGGATTATGTAGTAGTCTATCCACAAAAAGTGCATGCATTGCACAAAAGAGACGCAGGTGAAACTCAGAAGCCTGACCAAAAGGTAAGAAAAAGTTTTGCTCTTCATCAACTTATTTACTGATGAAACTGACCCTGAGTTTGCTCAAGATTCATGTGGACCAGAGTTAAAACTATATTACTTTCAAAATTTTGCAGTTAGATTCTTGAGGCAAAGTCTCAACTGTTTTTATTGTTTATTTGTAAAGTTTAGGCTGCTCTGCTTTATAAAGGGGGTGGTTATAAAGTCACATATTTGTTAGAGTTCATAGAATATGAAAAATGATGATGGGAGGATGGTTATAATTTGGAACTATCACCTGTTCCATTTTTAGATTGGATCTGCTATTGTCTAGGATCCTAGTCCTCTCCTTAGAGACCTTTGAATAATATTTGCATAGATGGATTTTTATAGGCAGTTGTAAGTGTAAAGAATAATTTCCTCTTTTTTAGACACACACACACCATAAATCTCATAAGACTTTAAACGTCCAAAGGTCTCTTTCATTTTGTTTAAAAATCTGTCAAAAGTTGCAGAAATCTGAGAAAAGTCCTTGCACACTTATATCAAGATTTGTACTTGATGTGGTTTGAATGAAACTTACACAGCCCTAATATTTCATGAGAGTGAAATATCCTATTCTGCAGGATCATTAAGTCTGGATAACTACTTGTTGTCAGCCAAGAGAGCTTTTTGTATCCTTTTGCTGCCATCTAATGCTTATCTGGATTTTTGCATTGCAATCTACACAACTGCTTCGATTATTATTTATTTATTATTAAACAAATTCATATGGCCGCCTAATTCAACACAATTGGGGAGACTCCAGGCAACTTACAACATTCAAAATTCACAATATTAATAGGTTATTATAGCTAATACATGTACTGTTAATCCTTTGAGGGATCTCTTCTTCCTTTTTATGGTCTTGGATCATCTTTCATAAAAGCTGATGGGTAGCTGTAACAACGGTGAACCAAGAAATATGAAAATAGCAATAGCAATAACAATAGCACTTAGACAATAGCACTTAGTGCTTTGCAAAATGCCATCCTTTCTGGCTTCCCAGAATGCATCACTTTGAAATATAAAAGTTGCATTTGTAGGTGAAAATGATATAGTGAGCAGAGGTCAAGTTTAAGACTGAGGACCAGATTCACGTCAATCCTCAGCCATGGAAAAGTTTATGGAATGACTTTTGCATAGTCACTCTGTCCCAACCCAACCTTATTCACCAAGATGTTGAATTGGACAAGGAAGTCTTGAACTTCTGGAAAAAGTTTAAGAAGATCTTATAGTGGCTTTCAAGTACCAAATGAAATAATCCAAATCTAGTAAATGAATTGGCTGGAACTTTCCATTTGAAAATTGTTGAGGTGTTGAGTTGTTAAGAATGCACACATTTTATTTGCCTATTTTTTAAAAGGATACTCAGCTGTTACTTCTCTAAACACTGAACTCTTTGCATTTCAGACTAAGTATGATGATACCATGCAATATGAATTTAAAGTGAATGGAGAACCAGTGGTCCTTCACCTAGAAAAAAATAAGTAAGTTAACTTAGAAGTTCTCTTGTCTTTGTTAAGACAATGTGAAAAATATATATTCTTGGACCCAATCCAAGAGAAACTAAAATTGTATTGCTTTGTTTGGGAAATTAAAACTAAATTAAATGAGTTAATTGAGTTAAATTAAATATAATTATTGTAAAGAAGAAGCGGATATGGTTAGTGAACATGTTAATTATGTCTTACCCAGGAATTGAGAATTTATTTTTCCTGCTTTCTATGGGACACTGCTCGACCATAACAATTCTAGATAAAGTTGAATCATTCAAAGCTCATAAATGTCTGTCCCTTGAATTACCTAGGTTAGTTATGAAATATTACAGAGATTTAAAAATGATTGCTTGCCCATCAATCTGTATAACTTTTCCTAAGAGCTTAACTTAACTGCTCAACTTACATTGGAGTTTACATGTTGAAGCATGAAAGGCATGAAATGTCATGTCCTATTAAGAAGGCATGAAAAGGGGACATAACCTAAAACCCCCAGATTTCAACACACCTTTTTTGTTGTTGTTAAGAATGCCATTTCATTCTTCTCAGTGGTTCTCCATTTGAACTGTAAATCAAGATATTAATAAAGATAATAAATAGATTTGCCACCTGGCTTATATCTGCATAATAACTAACCAGCGGAACAGGTTTTGGGTCTTTCACTGACTCGTCTAGCCAGGCCTTAGCATTTTTATTAGCAGCTTTGTTTCAATAGGGGGAATAGACATGGACTGAAACTATTTCTCCCATGTAAATAAACTACTTCTACTGCTAAAAGAAGGTGTGCTGTTTTCATTGCCTTAAATCCAGTAAATGTCACCTCAAAGTTGAAATTAGTATAGCAGCCACTGCACGGTAATACATGGGAACAGTTGCTTAGAATCTCTGCAGTCCGGATGTAATTTAATATTAACATTAAGACCCAGATTCATACTGAATGCTTTGGGAATGACTTCCTGCTTTTGATTTTAGAATATATTTTTCTATTCATCATACTATAGGTGCCCTCTAAATGTACATTAATCTTATTAGTAAGGATGAACTGTAAAGAAACTGCCTTATGTGGGTGTCACTTTATCTTATACTGTTGAGACATTTCATGTTAAATTAGATGATATATGTTTTAGAAATGGCTGTGTTACCCTTTCCTATTGTCTAAATATGAAGGATGTGTAGAAAGTCAAGGGTAGCATCTGGATGACTTTGTTTGGGCTTGAAGAAAACCAGGTCTAAAGGTGGAAGACCAATAAGAAATGCCCAGTGTATGTCTATATTAGAAAAATGGAAGGCAATGCCAAGGGAAATGCATGAATGTCTCTGCATAGCCAACTGGAGGAAAAAGTAACTCCATTGTGTTGATTCAAAACTTCAAGAGAGATGCTTCTGAATGAAGGTTCAGAGTATTCCTTCCCTTGAAGTGGCTTCATGAAGCAATATGAACTCCTTTGGTCTTGAATAAAAGGAGATAAATTGCTCTCCTTTGCAGACCTAGCAGCTTCATCTGGTTGTTGTATTGGCTGGAAGAGGCAAAGAAGAGGCAATGTTTTCTCTTGATCAATCATGCCCCTCTGAGCCTTGATGAAAAGAATTGCACAGCTTCCTTGGTGCAAATCTCTTTGCTAAGGTGAATCCAAGATGCTCTGCAATCCTCTTAAATAACCATCCTCATTAGATTGAAATACCTGCTCCTTCCCTTTGATACCAAACAATATCCTTAAAATCCCATTATACAATAGTTGTAGACTTATTATGCAATTATCTCTGTTCCCAAGATTAAATAATGTCTTCTTTGTGTTGTTTCCAGGGGACTTTTTTCAAAAGATTACAGCGAGACTCATTATTCTCCTGATGGCAAAGAAATTACAACAAGCCCTCAGGTTGAGGTAATATCCAGAGCATCTTACTTTTATGAAATTAATCGAGAATATTTGTGCACACTATTCCAAATATACCAGATCAGGCTATTCAAACAAGAAGGGCTGTATATGCATGAATTGTTTTATATTGAGCATGTTCTGTATAAGGATGTGTGGCTTGTTAAAACACAGCCTGTTTTACTTATTGAATTTATAGGGCAATATGCTTTTTAAACCCGATTACACTGATAAATACAAAACCATTTGTTTGGAACACCAAAAGTAAGAGGAATTCACTTTGCTTCCACAAAATACAGAAATGCATTCTATGTTCCTCACACTAAAATGGGTCAGAACCTTTTACAATATCACAGCACTAACATGCTTTCTTAGGTCCATGGCCATCTCCCCCCAGATTGATCAAAAAGTGCAACCTCTGTCTCCAAAAATTGCCTACTCCTGGATTAGCATCTTCAAAGTTCCTACAAATTGTTCCTTCTTAATGTGTAATAGAAATCTGCTGATTTTGGTGCCTACATAGTTCCAGCTTCCAGAAGATGCTAGGAACCAAATTCAACACCAGCTGGAGGCTTCCAGGTTATATAGAAATCTTTAGTGTAGTGTTAGTACTGTGTGTATTTATATCTCTGATGTGTTTCTCAAAGCTTTCATTGTGTGGGCTCAAGGAAATAACTGTGTAATTGATAAGTAAAGAGTGACATAATGATTAGAGTACAGTACTGTAGGCTACTTCTGTTGACCGATGGTTGCCAGCAGTTCGGCAGTTTGATTCTCACTGGCTCAAGGTTGACTCAGCCTTCCATCCTTCTAAGGTTTATCAAATGAGGACCCAGATTGTTGGGGGCAGTATGTTGACTCCGTAAACTGTTTAGAGAAGGCTGTAAAGCACTGTGAAGCGATATATAAGTCTAAGTGGTAATGCTGTTGCTAAATGTGGATTTTCCCCCCCACATCCGTGTTTCTCAACCTTGACAATTTTAAGGCATGTGGACTTCAACTCCCAGAATTCCACAGCCAGCAATGCTGGGAGTTGAAGTCCATATGCCTTAAAATTGTCAAGGTTGAGAAACACTGCCCTACATTATGATAAGATTTCAGAACATAGGACAATGAGCAAGTCTGAAAGTTTATTCAGCAAATCCTGTGGTGCAGCACTAGAGTTGACTTCCAAGAAAAGGGCTTGGAACCCGAAGAGCACATTTTATATTCCTTTTTTGATTGTCTGCCCAAAGGTTCTTAGCTTTTTCCATCAATGGGGTTCCTCCTGCAGTGATATTCTGTACTTCCAAATAGCCAAGAGTTATTATTTGTAAAATACATTTGTTTAAAATTCAATGTCTTTTGGCATTTGTGTACTACATGTGATTATTTGTCTCTGTTATAGACGTTCACTTCCTTAAATTCAGAACAGTTCAAAGCCAGTTCTATTTGAGGACCAGCATTTGCAGGTCATAATCTCACTTGCAATCAGCACAGGTTCTGGTACACCTTAATTTCAATCTCTGTGGGAGGACATTTGATCTATTTTGGGGACTGGGTGGCTTTGTGCTTGCTGAGAGATCTCAGCTTCAGCTTATCACAGGGACACAGGTGTTGCTGTCTGTACTTCAAGTCAAACCTTACAAATGAACCCCCCACACACACATACCTCAATGTTACTAATAAATTAAAGAGATGTGTTGCTTCAACTCCCAGAATTTCCGAGCTGGTATTCTCTCAAGCATTCTTTGCAATTTTCTACAGAAAAAAGTAATTAGGTCATAATACAAATTATGTCTATGTTAACTAAAACAATATGAGGAAGTCATTGCTTTGCAGGCAATTCCAGATTTCCTTTGGTCTGTGAAAATCAGTAGTTTAATTAAAACGACAACAAAGCTGTGTCATGTTCCTCTTTCTTTTTTGTTTTTGTCTGAAGGATTTTTTCCCACACTCCTCTTCGACACGCTCAAAGAATTTTCTATTTTTATCCCTTTTTCCTGATAAAATCTGTTTCACACAAGGCACTTCTATTAAAGCATTCTAGAGAACTTTTGAAGGAAATGGCAAAAGCCAGTTAAATTTCACAAGACTGGTGATTATGCAGCAAGATGTGAATTAAAAATGCTACAACATAAGCTAAAGACTCTCATTTAAGTTAAAAAAAGGTGGGATTCAGCCAGTTCACACCAGTTCGGCAGAACCGGTAGCTAATTTTTTGTTGCCCAAGCCCAGAACAGACTTCTGGAAGCAGCATCCACACAGAGAACCGGTTGTTCACATATCTGAATCCCACCACTGGTCCTAAACATGGCATGATTTAGGCTGGAAAGGAAATTTATATATTAAAAAAAAATCTTATTTAAATTACATGCAAGATAAAGGTAAAAGAGTTCCTCCTTTACTCCACTAGTTGTAGCTGACTTTAAGTATTGGTGCTCATCCCTGTTTCTTTAAATCATTGAGTCAATGCTATCCAAAGACATTTCTACATCATATGGCCAACATGACATCACACCACAGTGCAAAATATGCAGTGAAACACACAATGCTATTACCTTCCTACGAAAGTGGTACCTATTTATCTACTCACAATTGCTAGAGAGAGGCTACAGAGACCCTACTGGTGGAGGGTTTCTCCAGTTCCAGCTGATAGTACATTGCTGGTAATGACCTGATATTGCCTCTTCCCTTTTCTTCATGTGGTAGAGTCTGGTGAGTAGCTGCTTTGTCTCTTGCAAAATATTGCAAGAGATAGTGGTTTTGTATAGGAAATGGTTTTGTATAGGAAGCCTCTTCTTATAGTTAGTTATCAATTTCCAAATGATGTTCCAGATCTGGGTAGTGTGAAGGTGTTTCTTGCTTTGGTTTTTGGTGCTGAAGAGACCTTGGACATAATGCTGTTTCTCAGGGTGTTTATGCCTATGGTTAAGGTGACCAATTGTCCTCCTTTAGGGAGGACAGTCCTTCTTTTGTAAGTTCTGTCCTCTCTCGAAAAGTGTCCTCCTACATGTCCTCCTTTTCGATAGTTGAAGACTAATCTGTAAATCTCCGTCTTTGATCGATGCTGAGCTGATCCGTTGCGTGTGATGTGACGTATTTGTATTTGACATGACAATTCGTCAAGGCTCAGTACAGTGTGGCGAGACGCGATTATGAGATGCATGCGCTCCACACAGGAGATTTGTTTTGAGAGAGTGTGCCGCGCGCAAGAGTGCACCGCATGCAAGTGGCTTTGTTTACTTCTCATTGAAACATGACATGGCACACACACACGCATTAGGCTCACTTTTTTTCTCCAATTTATTTTTTTCCTACTTCTCATTGTAAAAAAGTTGGTCACCTTACTATGGTACATACATAACACATTCCTAAGTAAAGACTCAATGTGCTTGTCTTGCTCTTTGGAATAGAATGATTTATGGGCAACTTTTTTTTATAGCATCATCTAGCAAAGTGACAAGAAAAATATTTTAACACCCTCCTCCCTTTCCACTTTGTCAATCAAAGCCTGATAAAAGAAGATAAGCATAGAATTTTGACCAACAAAAGTCTGAATCAGACCACAGGGCGATGCAGCAAAATCCAAGTAGTGACTATTTTTTTTTATTCTTTCTGTCAATTAAGCAAGAAATCTTCATTGTCTGCTTTTTATTTTTAGCCACTGTCCAAAACACTAAGTCAGCCAATGATTTTTCCAGCATATACTGTACACCAACTAAGAAAAAAAAAAAACAGAACTGCTGTTGAGTCAAATCATGAGAAAGAGCATCTGGGAGAACTTCTTTGGCTGGGGAGAAATTATTGAATAGGAAAAATGAGATCTTAATGACCAATTGAGATGATTTGAAAAATGCCACATTGGTGGAACAAATTGCACACAAAATGTACACTAAGGATCACCAATCTAAAATTTTATTTCCCTTTAGTTGTTTTTCATGCATTTGTCTCTCTCGCTCTCATTTGGATACCCAAGTATTTTATATAGCCACCTATAGCCTCCTCATTAGTAAACGTAAAGCTATCTTTAAATAACATTTTTAACATCTTTTTATGGGAACATTTTTGAGATTTTTTAATGGCCTCAGCACAGAATGATGGCGTCAGAATGCATGAAATCTGGAGGATCACACATTCCCCAGTTCTGCAATGGTAATAGTACAGAATGAGAAACAGTCTGATGATGAGTTTAAAAAGTAGATGTACTTATTTATTGATTCGTTCAATTTCTATACCTGCTCATTTCAATCAATGACTCTGGGCAACTGACAAAAATCAAGATAGCAGACATAATGGTGCCATCAAAGCTCTGCATGCTTTTTATCTGTATTGCAATGGTGCCAGCAAGTTTTCTTTATTGACAATATTCTATGGATATCCTTGGATTCAGGTTAAGTTCTCCCATATAAATTCTGTTATAAAGTTCAATAATTTGGGAGCACAGGTGAGAGACTTGTGTTTCTACTATGCTCATTCTGAAACAATCAGTCACTTTGATTCCCACAATGGATGAACGGCTGCAAATGTTGATGGAGTTAGTAGAGATGGCTAAATTGACTGCTTTGATTAAAGGAGAAAAAAACCCACACAATTACTTTTGTTTCTACTTGGAAATCGCTTCTAGACTTTGTGCTTGAGGTGGAAAAAAGTGAAACTTCGATTTTGGGTTTACCAATTAGATTGGTTTGTTGTTATAGAAATAGCTAGTTTATACTATTATGTGGAAGTAAAAAGTTGAGGTTTGATGCTATTATCTTATTTTACTGCATCAAAGGGAATCAGAAGTTAATGCCTTTTCCTCCTTCCTCTCCTTTCCCTACACTTTTTCCTTTCTCCTTCTCCTACTTTTCTACTTTTGTATTTTTGTATTTGATATTATAAACTAATAAAAAAAAGAAACAATCAATAGTAGACAGATTTTGTATCCCCCAAATCAAAATATTCTGGAATATTTTCTGCCTTACTCATTACTGCATTTATATGGCAGAATACATGGGAACCATATTCCTGTTTAACAAATCACAGTCCAATCCAGTGTAGTCTTCTTGCTTCCATTCAGGATCACTGCTATTATAATGGTCACATCCAGAATGATACCGACTCAAGTGCCAGCATCAGTGCGTGCCATGGTTTGAAGTAAGACACTGTTTTATCTTTTGTTTATTTTATTAAGAATGAGAATACTGTTCTTGAAGCTGTCATAGTTAAAAAGTAGAACATCAGTTTCTTATGCAAATTACTTGGGTTCACTTCTGAACTTCTGCAGAATTAAGAAAGATTTTGGTTGGCTATCTAGAAGAACTGCCAGCCAGCAGAGACAGTGGGGAGCTAAATCAGTTCTGTCTAAAAGAGCTTCAAAGGCCATGCCGTCTTTGTATAAAGGAGCTGATCTTACAAGGAAAAGAAGATAAATAGTTTTCAGATTGTGCACCTTGCTAGGAAAGAGGCAAGCAGACTTTCAGTTCTACCAGAGCCATTCAGTTGAGCCATTTTGCACACTTTTTCTAACCAGCTAGATATCTTAGCCGTATAAAGATTCCAAATTTAGAAGGGCCAAATTACCACTAGCCAGATTCAATGTCCTCCTGACTGTAATTACTGAAGGAAGGCACCAAAAGATCCCCTTTGAACAGAGACTGTGTCCATGTGGTGGAGGAATAATTGAAATGATACAATAAGTTGTTCTGTATTGCAGGTGTTCTCCAGGAATTTACTAAGTATCCTGATGGTTCTGATTTTTATCTTAAGTTGTTATTATCAGATCAAATCTGATTTCATTACCTTGACCACAGCCAAGTCCTTTTGTACAGTTTGTATAGTACACCATAGTGTTTCCTCTTAGATATTTTAAAACTATTATATTTTTCCCTTTTTTACCCTAATTACTTGTGACTTTCATGTTTTATGTGTTGGTCTATGAGCAATAAAAGATTGATTTAATGGAATGAATCTACATTAGGGAAATATATAAGCTATACAATACTTCACCCCTACGAAATAAAGTTTTACACAAAAACTGAATCTTTCCAAATGTTTAATCTTAGATTTTCATAGCTAAAAACTTTCTTTGCTTTAAAAAAAATAATCTAGGAATTATAGTACTGTATATTGGAATCCATGACAAACTAACTCTGCACAAGTATCATATACATAATTCATCATTGTACTGAGAATGTGCAATACAGCTTAGCTGTATTTTTGAGAAGCAGAGAAAGTGATATGTAAGCTGAGGAAAGACAATAAAAGGCTCAGTTTATTTTAAGGGATTCATAAAGATAAGTTACGTTGACTTTGTTAGTTAAACCTGGTTATTCACCATGTGCTCTCTGAGCTTAATTGTTTTGTTGCAGAGGTTTCATTAGCCAGCTAGGTAACATCTAGTGCACTGGTGATGTTACTAGTTGAGTAATGAAATGTTTGCAGGAAAAAAACAAGTTGAGGGAGCAACAAGGACCCCACACTTCAATCCTGAGGCCCAAATATTCTCTTCTATTGGCCTCCCACCTCTAATCTATAATTGTTTTACAGAGGGTATTTCAAGAATCAGGGTGAGAAGTACCTCATTGAACCCTTGAAGCTTCCCGACAGTGAAGCCCATGCACTCTTCAAATATGAAAGTCTGGAAAAAGAGGACAGGACCCCCAAAATCTGTGGGGTAGCCAACACTACATGGGAACCAGATGAGCCCATCAAAAAGACTTCTCGGACAAGCATGAGTGCTGAAGTAAGTCGCATGTGAAACTCTCAAGTATGTAACATGGTTTCAGAACAGGGATTCATTTTGTTGTTGTTGTTAGTTGTGAAGTCATGTCCGACCCATCGTGACCCCATGGACAACATTCCTCCAGGTCTTCCTGTCCTCTACCATCTTCTGGAGTCCATTTAAGCTCACGCCTACTGCTTCAGTGACTCCATCCAGCCACCTCATTCTCTGTCGTCCCTTTCTTCTATTGCCCTCCATCTTTCCCAGCATCAGGCTCTTCTCCAGTGAGTCCTTCCTTCTCATTAGGTGGCCAAAGTCCTTGAGTTTCAACTTCAGGATCTGGCCTTCTAAAGAGCAGTCGGGGTTGATCTCTTCTAGGACTGACCGGTTTGATCACCTTGCAGTCCAGGGGACTCACAGGAGTCTTCTCCAGCACCAGAGTTCAGGGATTCATTTACTTGTTTCTAAAATGTAAAGTAAAAGAGAAATTCTCTGGGACTTCTAAAAGAATTCAGACGAAATAGGATCCCCTATTTCTAAAATTCTATTCCAGTCACACTGTAGAAGAAAATATGGAAGCTCACTGAACAGAAAATACATATTTCAGGTTTATACCATTTTCTATGGTCATGCAAACTCAATTTGGAGATGTGGCTCAAAATAGATTTAACTGACTCTCCAAATCATCTTAATTTTCTGAATCAGTTTAGAAAGTTTAATCAAATTATCAATTCGAAGCCTCTTTATGCATGCATAGGGGACTTGGGATAGGGGGAGAAACTGGTTTGAAATAACGGAATAACAGAGTTGGAAGAGACCTTGGAGGTCATCTAGTCCAACCCCCCTGCTCAGGCAGGAAAGCCTTATCCCATTTCAGACAAATGGTTGTCCAATCTCTTCTTAATAACTTCCAGTGTTGGAGCATTCACAACTTCTGGAGGCAGGTTGTTCCACTGTGAGTTCAAGATTGCTTTTCTCTTTGATTAGTTTCCATCCATTGCTTCTTGTCCTACCTTCAGGTGCTTTGGAGAATAATTTAATAAACTAATAAGCATTAAATCAAAGTGGTTTGCAATGTCTAACAAGACCACTATGTAATCTTGATTCAATTTTCCAGTTTGATTTGAATCATCAAGTTGGATTGAAGCAATGACTGAATCAAAACTGACACAGTGAATCTGGTCACCCATTGAATAATGTACTTCTTCCTGATAAATTTCTCAGCATATTCTAAAGTGCTAAAGTTTTAACAAGTTCTCTCCCTATAAATGTTTTCTTCAAAGAGCCAATATTTCTGAAAGTTCATGTACTTTGTCCAGAGAGCACAACAAGATTATCTGATGACCCAACATTTCTGTTGATTGCAGGAAGCAACATGTCTAAACAATATTTTGTTTAATGTTTTGTTTAGAAAAAGGAATACTTGCAGGCCAAAAAACATGTGGAGCTTTTCATAGCGGTAGACAACAGAATGGTAAGTATCCTGGATATCAAGTTGTTTTCTGCACTGAGCACGAATTTTTGTTTTTGTCTTTTTTAATGTGGGCATTTTTGAAGGCATTACCAAACACAACATTCTAACTAAGGTTTTATCCAAAAATGTGCTTTAAAGTATATTTATATAATTTTTGTTTTTTTGTGATTGGACCCAGCCCCTTTTTACAAAGTTAAGATACATTTGAAATATAATTATTCTGTGATTTGTACTAAGCTGTTCCTGGACTTTATCTAAATGCCAAGAACAGGAAGCTGAAGTTAGGAAGTTAGTTAACACGGAGAACATAAATAAAGTTTTTAAATAGAGAAAAGAGAAAAAGAGAATCATATATTTTTTCTATCTGGGCAATCTAGTTTTCCAAAATCCAGAATAAAATTCAGGAGGAGAATTTTAAATTGGTGGGTAGCCAATCTGGATGTATTGCTTTCTCTTATTTTTTCATTTATTTCAAAACTTTTACATTCAAACTTTTACATTCAATTAATTGCAGTGAAATAGTAATTCATGCTTTTGCATCCATTCCTCCCAGAATATTTTTTCATTTATATTTTTGCTTGATATAATTTTTGAAAATATGTTTCCCTATTTTACTTAATTTATTTTTTTAATAAGTATTTTATTAATTTTCTATTTTTACAATCAAGTAATAGACAATGTGCTGACTAGGTTCATTGGTAATTCCATGGTACATATAAGCTTCTTCAAACTAAATCCAATATTACACCATCCAATACATCCTCTCTTCCTCCAGGAATAGACATTTTCCCACACTAAGCAAATACACTTCTTATTGTTATTAATAAATATACAGTTGAATATAAGACTTTACTTTATTTTTATGGGTGTATGCATTTGAAACTGATTTCCTCATTATATGTGTCTGTGCATGTATGAATTTCAATTTACAACTGAATTTTAGTAAATAAATTGATTCAAGAAGTCAAAATTATACAGTGTTAATGTTCATACTATCACTCAAATTAAATCTAGTTCTCCACCACCAGTAGCTCGAATAGAAACTAACCTTTGGCTAATAGACAAGTAAGATCCACATTTGACTTAGCCAATCTCCTTTGCAGCAATGCAGCATTTGCAGTAAAATAACTCTTGGGGGTATTTGAACTCTCTGAATGTGTGCACATTTTCCCCCCAGTAAAATAAAACTATGTTCATGAGCTCAGTGAGTTTCCCCTTTTAATACTATTTCAAAAGAGAACATCTTATGCAAATTCTTTTCAGGGAAATTGGTCTAGGGCTGGTGGTATTTAAATTCAGTTTGTAATGAAGAATGCTTATCTCTCAGTTCTCTGAACAAGGAAATATAATGTCCACTTAAGGGAAGGTTTTCAAATTTTCTCCAACCAAGAGGAAAGCCTATTAGTGATGCCCAAAAATTCATACTGTTAATATATTAATGTAGGTAGGGTTATTAAAATCAGCACAAAAGAATTCATTGGAGTGCTTGGATATCGAATTATTATTTTTGGTCTGAATCAACAAATTCAATGAGTATTTTTTTTATTTAAAAAAAGTCTCTTTCTTTCCCTGACATATTCTTTCTCTGACTTTCCTTCAATCCCTCCATCCTAAAATTATGGTCTCTTCTTAACCTTTTTGTCTTTTCTGTAGTTCAGGCGATACAGCCGTAACATCAATGCTGTAAAGATGAGAGTATTTGATGTAGTCAATTACATAAATACGGTAAGAGGACAGGGCGAAAGTTCATTCACTTTTTAGATTGAAACCTCTCCCCCGCCCCAATCCAGATTTTCACTGTGTTTATGCAACAAAATTAATCAGGTAACGGGACCTAGGGAATGGACTTCTACAAGAGGGCCAGCTTTTGTGGCTTCAAGTGCAGCAAAGCTGGATCATTTGGTAAGCTTGTGATCCAGCAAGCAAGCACATCTGAGAAAATGGGTTAGTTCAGTAACTAGGGGAATAAGTCTGTTATATGAATACAGGCACTGTGTTGGGAGGATACCAATCCAAAACTGTTGCAAGAATTCAATCAGTGCTACATCTCTGTCACTGGATTCTTTCAGGGCTGTGGTTAATCTTCTGAACTTGGAGATTAGAAAGAAATGGACAGAGTAAGCCTATTCCAAACTCAACTGATTATGAATACAATTCTTGAGAAGAAGGCAGGAAAGAAGAACCCAGTTTGATTTGGATTGTGGCACTTAGGAGGAGATCTACTCATATTGTACTGCTTCTGTCCTATGTGCCTGGTTGACCATCTTCCCTGTTGATGATCAGTTAGCATCAGGGAGGTAACAGGAACATCAGTGGGTGAAATCTCCCTTTGGTTCTTCTCCTCTTCTGTTCTTGATGAAAGAGAATAATCAACTGGTTCTTTTTTATCATTTCTTTCTCCTGCTTAATAAATTGTTATTATTCCCCCTGTAGAGTCCTTGGTGCTGTCTGAGCTTGGTGGTTTCCTTGCAGACATTTCGTTACCTGTCTAAACATCCGCAAGCAAACCATCAATCTCAGAGAGGACCAAGGACTCCACAATTCAAATTCTTATTAAAGAGGTATTCTTCTATTGATCCCAAAATCTATTTCATTTCACCTGCCCGTAGAGACCAATGTCAGTTGCCTTTTAGTCTTGAAATGTTTCTCAAGATTTGAGTTTCTGATTGATGCCATGTCCACCACACAGGTTTACAAACCTATGAAAGTTCACATAGCATTGATTGGCTTAGAGATTTGGTCTGATGAAGATAAGATTGAGGTCAACACAACAGCAGGTGTCACTCTGAACCACTTTTCGACATGGAGAGAGTCAGTTTTGCTGAAGCGAAAAAGGAATGATAATGCTCAGTTGCTCACGTATGTCTCATTGTGGGGAAAGGGAATGGGGGTGGCTGGGAGTGGAGGATTATGGGAAGGTTAGTGCTTGCAAAGAGCCTCCACTCTATACTGCATTCTTTAAACCATGTGTGAACTATGTTTCTGGATCAAAGCCAACAATTTTTTTGTAGATGAGAACTGGTTTTGAGAAATCTTTGAATGATTGCAGGTCAAAATTTGATTTCATTTCACCTGGATTTAAAATTGAAACTCCTATTATCCTACTATGCTTTGGCTGTACTTAACACATGCAATTTTAATCTGATTAAATGATGATTTGGTTCCTATTCTGCACCAAATAAATGAACACTTGCATTATACAAAGTAAAATAATAAAATAACTAATTGTGAGTAACACATGTTTAGCAGGTTGTACAAATTTGTCATCTAGATCTTAATGGGATCTGGTTATAGAGGCAGTGTGAGTTCAGCCTATATATTGCCATACAGTTTTATAAGCGAGAAAATGCCAAATTTATTGATTATATCTTTAATATATTGGACCAGCAACAATTGTGTTGTGAGCAATCCTACAGGATATGTGCATAACAAATGGGTCTTATAAAATATATTAGAGGCTAGATGGAATGCATATCAAAGTAAAAAGAGAGAGTATAAAAAATAGAAAAAATCCATTTTATTTTTTTCCCACGGATGTTGATTTGATTTGTTCCTCAGCTCACCTAGTCTTTAATAACACCATGGCTAAACTGATAGAATTATTATATAAATCTGAAATTTGGGGGTTTTACAGTACATGGGCTGGATTCACACAACCATCTCCCCATCTTAGTGAAGGCTAACACCAGCCAAGCTTAGTATGTAGTGGAAATGCATCCTGAATACATTTAACAAGCCTGCTTAGTTAAATGGCTTGTGTGAGTAGAGTCTAAAATGAATTCTAACACCCTGAAAACTGGCAGGAACTGAGGATGGGATTGGGGGTTTGCGAAAAGCATAAGGGGTTACATATGCCCCAAGGCTATAGAGGGTGCTCCCGTCTTCTACATATTTTACCCCCTTCTTCTTTCTTATAGGGCTATTAACTTCGATGGACCAACCGTAGGACTGGCTTTTGTTGGTACCATGTGTAGTCCTTCGTTTTCTTCAGGAATTGTTCAGGTTAGTAGAAAAGCTACCTGTTACTTGTTTATGGTCAGTGAAAACACTTAATGCAGGAATAACTTTATTACCAATAAAGACTATTCTTATATTTGATCCATATCATTTTCATCCATCTTTATTTATGAATTTGACAACTCCAAACTGTAATTGCCAGGCTCAAGTTCGTAAATTGGGGACTACCTGATGTGGGACATGATAGCAGTGTTCCAATCTCTCAGGGGCTGCCCCAAAGAAGAGGGAGTCAAGCTATTCTCCAGAGCGCCTGAAGGCAGGACAAGAAGCAACGGGTGGAAACTAAGCAAGGAGAGAAGCAATCTAGAACTAAGGAGAAACTTCCTGACAGTTAGAACAATTAACCAGTGGAACAACCTGCCTCCAGAAGCGGTGAATGTTCCAACACTGGAAGTTTTTAAGAAGAGACTGGACAGCGCTTTGTCTGAAATGGTGTAGGGTTTCCTGCCTGAGCAGAGGGTTGGACTCAATGACCTCCAAGGTCCCTTCCAACTTTATTATTATTATTATTATTATTATTATTATTATTATTATTATTATTATTATTATTATTCCTTTAGTTTAAGGTTTCAGATAAACAGTATACTTTCTTAGTACTTTTCCATGTTAAAAACCAATAGTTTTAATTATCTTATTATCTTTGATTTAATTTGTTAATATTTGTTTGGAGAAGGAGTTAAAGTGTGTTATGGTTTTGATTGATAGTATAGTTGGCTTATGTTAGTTAGATTATGTTTGTTTATTTTATTTTTTATCCTGTAATCAGCTCTGGGAAGTGGGGGAGGGGGGAAGGGGTGGGGGGGTTTATAGTGTAATAAATTTATAAAACTTTTAAATTAAAAAAAAAACAATTACTAATAGCACAATCTGTTGCCTATTAAAAAAAAAGTAGCCCAGTCTGGAGAAAGTTTCTTACCCCCTCCACTCCCTTTGAAGCTAGCTTTCTATTTACATCTCATTTTTTTTTAACATGGCCAAATAAATAATTCTTTTAATTAATAAAAATAATAAACAATAGAAGACACCTTTGTACTCCAGTGAGATAATTATGGAGGAATGTTTCATCTCTAAGCTACTAAAAGGAAAGCTTTTAGTACGCTTTGCTGCTTTAAAGAAAGGAAGTACTTTTTGCAGGAAATCCTATCTCAGCTCTGCAAATTATTAATCTCTTTTTTCTAACTCTTTGATTTTTCATTAGAAAGTGCTGGAGCAAAGGTTTCAGCTCAGTGCTAGTAATAATTGAATTCACTTTCAGTTTCTTGGTGGACTAACAATAGACAAAGTGTTCTCTTGTTTTCAGGATCATAGCACTAACCCAATTGCTATTGGAGCAACAATGGCCCATGAGATAGGTCATAATCTTGGCATGAATCATGACACAGATTTCTGTACTTGCAAGGCTGACTCATGCATTATGACTCCCCAGCAAAGGTAAGAGCTCAGGAAAACTTTTAATGCCTTTCAAACCGAGCTATTTTCAAACAGTTGCAGTTAACAATAGTGTAAAGAAATAGCATAGGAAGTATAGCCCAAGAAACCAAATATTAATATCTGTGATGGATAAAAGAGGAAACCAAGTTAGACATTAAAGACTTTCTAAAGGGGGAAGCAGAACCATGCAACAGGAGGAAGAAAAAAATAAATTAGCATCCTTGGGGTTTTTCTACCTTGCCCCTTTATCAAAGTAGAAGATATGTTACATCTCTGACAAATATTGCAGCCTGCTGAAATCAGCAGGCAATAGCCAACTTACAACCATTTGTTTAGCAACCATTTGAAGTTACAATGGCACTGAAAAAAGTGACTTACGACTACACTAACAACCATTGCAGCCTCCTCTCAGTGACCTGATCAAAATTTGGGGGCATGGCAACCAGCATATATTTATGATGGTTGCAGCATCCTGGGTTCCTGTGATTACCATTTCCTGACCTTCCCAGTTGTCTTCCGATAAGTCAACAGAGGAAGCCTGATTTCTTAGTGACTGTGTGGTTCACTTAAAAACTGTCTTGTTTACCAGTGGAAATTCTGATCCCAATTGTGGTTGTACGTTGAGGATACCCTGTATTTTATTCCTAGTCCTTGTTTAGGCTCTACTTCACCAAGAAGGAAAAGGGGAAGAAAAAGGAGGAATGGAATGGAACAGAATGGAGTGGAGTAGAGAGGAGTGAAGAGGAGTGGAAGGAGTGGAGAAGAGAGGAGAGGAGGAGAGGAGAGGAGTGGAGAGGAGAGGAAGAGAGAAAAGGAGAGGAGAGGGAAAGGAGAGGAGAGGAGTGGAGAGGAGAGGAGAGGAGGAGAGAAGAGGAGAGGAAAGTTCTCAGGAATTGTCTATCTTGTGTAAGATTTCTGTAGTCTCAGTGAATGTGCCCCCTGTTGTCAAATTTCTGGTATTTCTGTCAAAGCCCTAGGACTTTGTTGCCTCATATTTGATGCAATGGCAATGCTTACAGGAAGTATTGGCAATGCTATGTAACCTTTCCTGTCCTTACGGAAGGAGTTCTGTACGTCATGATTACTTTTTAATACTTCAAAACCACTTTCTGGTATTTTGTACAGAAGGGCTTGCTTAGAGAACAATTTTGCTCAATAAGCCTCACCTAACGGGTCTGTTGCAACTTTGACCTTGAGAGAAGACCATGTGGTCTCTTTAATGGCCACCAGCAGATGATCTTTGTGTTCTTGCTTTCACCCTCTTCCTTGAGGGCCAATGATTATATTCCTAATGATTTGTAATAGTATTAGGAAGGTGCTTGGGCGGACTTATGATGCCATCTTTGCATCATTACTACCTTTACAACAAAAGAAGTCCAATAAGTATATTAATGCTCCCTTTGCCTTAAAACATTCATTTGTTATAAAAAGTAGAAGCCTTTTTTTCTCCAAAAGAAGAAAAGAAAAAGAAGGCCAAGATTCCACTGTTTTTCCTTCAATTATATTAAGGCTCCCTCTTCTTTACCACATCAGCAATGTCACTGTATTATTTCCAGGGTCTCACAGAGAGGCTGACTAAAAATGAAAATGAAAGGCAGCCCACTCAAACACAAGAAGCTGCTTAAGCAACTAACAGCACATGGAGTTCTTATTGCAAATTTATTTTATTAAAAAAAAGAAAAAAACCCAGTGGAATTAAAACTGAGGGAACATAATCTGGAACTAAGATCAAGGGGTATAAAGAATTGTTAGCTTTAGAGAAAAATCATTGCATTTGTTCATTAGCCATTTTTTCTATCGTATATGTTTTTGCAATGAATTCTCTTCCTGGTTGAAATATGGATGATGTCATGATCTTATATTGGTTCACTTTTACAGCTATAAACCACCCCGGGAGTTCAGTTCTTGCAGTTTCCAGGATTATCAGAAGTATATCCTGAGTGAAACCCCACAATGCATTATCAACAGACCCTTGAAAAAAGATATAGTTACACCTCCAGTTTGTGGGAATGACTTTGTGGAAGAGGGAGAAGAATGTGACTGTGGCTCTCCAAAGGTATGCTTTTTTTAATGAACTATGATGGTTCCAAGAAGTTTCTCTTAAACAGGAATCCTTGCAAAATCATCTGTTTTTCTGAGCCATCCAACAGGTTGTGAATCCAGTTCTGATCAGCACAATAAAAAAAAGGTGTTGAGACTTTAGAAAAAGTGCAGAAAAGAGCATCAAAGATGATAAGAGGCTAAAACATCCAGGAGGTGGATATGTCTAGTCTAATGAAGAGAAGGTCCTACAATATTTAAGAGGCTATCACAAAGAAAAGGGGAACAACTAGTCTCCAAAGCACTTGAGGCCAAGACAAGAAGTAATGGATGGAAACTTATCAAACAGAGAAAGAACCTAGAATGTCCTGACCGTGTGAACAATTAATCAGTGCAGTGATTTGTCTTTAGAAGTTGTTGCTGCTCATCACTGGAGGTTTTTAAGAAAAGATTAGACAGCCATTTGTCTGGAATGGCATAGGGTCTCCTGCTTAGGCAGTGGGTTGGACTAAAAGATCTAGTAATTTTACACACAAACAGTAATTTGGTAAAGTGTTCTCTTTAGATTGTTAAATGGAATCAATGGTAAGGGTGTAATGATCTGTGAAAATCTCTTTGAGAGATCCAAGGAGGATGAACTGACTAGGCAGTCATTAGATAAGACGTAGCTTAGCCTATAGAAGCAATGGGGCATGGCAAACATCTCAAGAGGAACACCTCCCACCTATTTTCTTGGACCATAAAGATGAGCGGGGAGAAATGTACTTTCAGTCTTGAAAGATTCAATTATTGTAACCTTACAATAAAGGTAGTGTTAATATTCATGGTTGCTGCTTCTTCACTGGACTACCTCGAAGTAGTTGAGTAGAAAATCACGAGTAGAAAATTCCTCAGAATAAGCAAGAGGCTGTAGTTTATGTGGACTTCACAATTGTGAGATGAGGATGTTTTTTATTTGTTTTATTCCTTTCACACAAGAAATATCAGATATTTCTTATAGATATGCCATCATCCGTTTGTAATAACAAACACTCAGATGGTCACATTGATTTGCTAGCATGAATCCATAAGAGGGAGCAGAATATCAGTTTATTTGGTAGTTCTTCTCTTCAAAATAGACCAGTAAGAAGACACCAGCAGGAAAGCTTATAATGTCATATAATAATAATAATAATAATAATGATGATGATGATGATGATGATGATGATAAAGTTGGAAGGGACCTTGGAGGTCATCTAGTCCAACCCCCTGCTCAGGCAGGAAACCCCATACTATTTTGGACAAATGACTGTCCAGTTTCTTCTTAAAAACTTCCAGTATTGGAGCATTTACTGCTTCTGGAGGCAGGTTGTTCCACTAGTTAATTGTTCTAACTGTCAGGAAGTTTCTCCTTAGTTCTAGGTTGCTTCTCTCCTTGGTTAGTTTCCATCCCTTGCTTCAGGTTGTCCTGCCTTCAGGTGATTTGGAGAATAGCTTGACTTCCTCTTCTTTGTGGCAGCCCCTGAGATATTGGAAGACTGCTATCATGTCCCCCCTTGTACTTCTCTTCGTTAAACTAGACATACCCAATTCCAGCAACCATTCCTTATATGTTTTAGCCTCCAGTCCCCTAATCCTCTCTGTTGCTCTTCTCTGCATTCTTTCTAGAGTCTCAGCATCTTTTTTATATCGCGGTGACCAAAACTGGATGCAGTATTCCAAGTGTAGCCTTCCCAAGGCATTGTAAAGTGGTATTAATACTTCACGTGATCTTGATTCTATCCCTCTGTTGATATGTTTGGTTTTCAGGAATGTAAAAATGAGTGCTGCAATGCTACAACTTGTAAACTGAATCCTGGGGCAAATTGTGGATATGGGGAGTGTTGTGAGAAATGCCAGGTAAGTCTTGTTTATTTTTAACACCAGGAGAGATTTTACCCTTCTCCTTCCTAGTCACATGAAAATGTGATATTTCCTTGCTACCTATTGTGATCAAAAACATTTTAACCCTATTCCCATCTCTTCTTCCAATTTATTGAGCCCTTATGAACATACCCATAGGGAGGACAATTTAACAAAATGTCTCAGTCTAAAGTATACCTGCTGTTTCATTTGGATTCACTTCTGTGAAAATAATATATACGGTATATTTTTCTTTGACTGAGTTTGCAAGGAAGCCCAATTTAAAAGAATTTAATTCCAAAACGGCAGTTAAAACACAGCACTGTGGCGTTGTGTGGGGAGCCCAAAGGAGCATGCAGGCATGGTGTTGGTCGGTGCTATGAGATCCTTCCCTTATTCCTTTATCAAATACTGAACAATGTTTACTTATTTTTGCCTCCTTAAACATTTTTATAATTTTTTAAGGTTTTTAATTTTAAAATTTGAACTCTAACATTTTAATTTGTATGTAGTATTTACTATTTTGATGTTTTAGGGTCTTTCTTTGACAGAGATGGGCAGTTCGTTAAATAAACAAAACAAACAAACAAATAAATAAATGCAATGTTTGATGCCTGATTCCTGTTTTTTGGGAAATTCTAACTGGCCATCTGATAATGTTATGACATTACTAAGGACCATTTTTGGCACTTATTTTTTTTCTCTAAGACTTTTGGGGTGCAGAAAATGTCTAAAAATCAAATTACTTTCTTTCCTACCAGTAAGTTCTCCAACTGCTCCCCAAAGCTCTAAATTCAGTTATTTTGGTAGCACATTCTGGAGGTGCTGTAGGACCATGAATTGAGGGGTGCAAGTTGCTTGTTCCTTCTATACAGTTGACTCTGTAATGAACTTTTTCAGCTGCGGGATCCAAAACATTTTGATATTTCCATACTTCCATCACAAGCCAAGACTCACAGCAACATTTTTTTTTTCATCACATACCTCGCTTGGTAATCCTTATGTCTTTGATCTCTGCTGCTAAAGAGTGATAGCTGGGAATATTTTTCATTCTCACCCACAGTTTAAGAAAGCAGGAGCAGTGTGTCGGGCAGCAAAACATGACTGTGATTTGTCTGAAATGTGCACTGGCCAGTCTGCTCAGTGTCCCTTGGATCGCTTCCGTGTGAATGGACACTCATGCCAAAACAACCAAGGTTACTGCTACATGGGGAAGTGTCCCACCTTGGCAAACCAATGTATTAGTCTCTGGGGGCCAGGTAAGTCAACCTTAGGATTTCACAATTGTGGTATTATAAAAGACTAAGACAGTCATTGCATTAATCAAAGATATTTTTTCCTTTCTATCCACAGTAAATCATCATTTCATTTCTGTTCTATTTGTGCTTTGTGCAAATGGAGTAATTTTTCAAAGTGAAATTCTTTGTTTGGTGGCTTTAGAGCCCAGCCCTCCAGATCTTTTGGTTGAAAGCTCCAAACATCCTTTTAGAACCTGGCCAATGGTTAAAGATGATAGCAATTGTAGACCAGAAATCTGAAAAGACTGAGACAGAAGGATGCATTTCCAATTTGCACAAAGATCTCTCACCCTTGCCCTCCCTCCCTCCCTCCCTCCCTCCCTCCCCCCTCTCTCCATGCACACCATAGATAATTTTCTATATTATAGGAACAGCTGAAAATTATTCTCCAATACTCTTTGTGTGAAATCAACCGGTATTATGAAGCAAGCCAATACTACTGGAGAATCACAGAGAATAACATCAAGAATCTGTCATATGTTTAGAGTTGTATCCATCTAGTTTTGTTCTTCTAAGAGTTAATTAGGGTCACTGATTGACCCATCACTTTTCACTGTTCTCAATCAGAGATAATGGAGATTGAAAATGGGACCGTCTGCTAAGAATATTCAACCCCTGAGATTAAAATTTTCTTTACATATGGCATAATACTTAAATAAACAGGTGTTGAGGGATGTGATTCTTGTCACTCGCTCATTGAACAAAATTGGAAGGGACCTTGGAGGTCTTCTAGTCCCTTCTTGTCATTCTGGACAAGTGGTTGTCCAATCTCTTCTTGAAATTCTCTAGTGATTGAGCACCCACAAACTTTTGGAGGCAAGCTGTTCCACTGATTAATTCTTCTCACTGTCAGGAAATTTCTCCTTAATTCTAGGTTGCTTCTCTCTTTGATAAGGTTCTATTCGTTACTTCTTGTCTTCCCCTCAGGTATCTTGTCTATGACAGCCCCTCAAATATTGGAAGATTGCTATCATGTCACCCCGAATTCTTCATACCTAGTTCCCGTAGCCATTTATTGTACAATTTAGCCTCCAGACCCTTGATTATTTTTGTTGCTCTTCTCTATGCTCTTTCTAGGGTTTCAGCAACTTTTTTCTATCACGTTGACTAAAACTGGATGTAGTATTGTACGAGATAGTGAATGCTTCATGCATAATGAGGATTAGATAAGGAATGGGTTACAAAATATTGGGTTACAAATAAGTGAACTTTAACTATATTATTTGGAACTCCTCTGAGATGTCTTAAGCCATTCTTTATCCTGCTGGCATGTTACACACTCAGATATTTGTGTTTCTTCCTCACTCCCTCTTATAGGTGGAAAAGTGGCTGCAGATTCCTGTTTTTCAATCAACCAGAAAGGGGTTTATTACGGCCACTGCAGGAAAGCAAGTGGCACCTATATCCCATGTAAACCAAAGTAAGCAGTCTAAATTATTTCCTGCTATGATGATGATATCCTGTCAGGGTAATATAAGAAAAATTTTCAGGTCCACATGTGTGGGAACCTGATTCTATCATTTCACTAAGACAACAGAAATATGAGTCAATTTCCGAATGGCTAATTTTCTGGTGTTTTCTGCCTTGGGTTACAAGATAGGGGTATAAAAGGAGACCATGAGAACTTTTAAAGTGCCCTTTGAAAGATTGTGTGAGAAAGGGCAGAAACTCCTCAGTCAGTCACCGTTATAACACTGAAAGTGACTTACAACCGGTCCTAGCATCCCTATAGTCATGTGATCAAAATTCAGGTGCTTGGTAACCAACATATATTTATGAGGGCTGCACTGTCCTGAGGTCACATGATCACCATTTTCCGTCTTCCCAGCCAGCTTCCAATAAGCAAAGTCAATGGGGGAGGTTGGATTTGCTTAACAACCATGTGATTCACTTAACAACCAAGGCAGAAAGGTTATAAAAGTGAGTGCAACTCACTTAACAACTGCTTTGTTTAGCAATGGAAATTCTGGTCCCAGTTGTTGTCATAAGTCAAGGACCACTGCACAGTCAGCCTTTCTCTCTGGGTTGACACTGCCCAGCAATCTTATTGAATAAGTCCTGGCTGGCTGAGTTTAGGAATTGCACTTAGTTATAAACCATGATTTAGAAACCACAATGGCTAGATTTGCACCAGAAGTTGAATCCAAATCAAACAATAAGCCACAGTTTCTTTTAGTGACATGTGTAAACCGGACTCTGCCTTTTAGACAGTTTACACCCTGTACCCTTTTTTTTGTACTAAAACAAGGGCAGTACTTATTTAAAATTTTAATTCCCCCCCCTTATTTTTCTTAAATTGAAATGGAATAATGGCCATTTTTCAGGGCAATTTCTCTCTCTAATATTTAATGCTGCTACCCCAACCTTTAGATTTCAACTCACATGAGAGATTATGGGAATGTTAGGCTAGAGGTCTGGAAAAATCAAGCGTCCTGAATCTGCTTTAGGAATTTTCCAGGTAGATAACAGATACTGTACATCCCCTGTCCAAAGATAAGAATTCTGTCTCAAACTATTTTCACCCTTAAAAATAGAGAAACCACACGAGCTAGTTAGAAATACAGAAACTGTGTTTCTCTATTTCCCCTCCAAAAAAACCTTAAAACACTTCTTGAGATTTTTGTTTAGTCATCTCTTAAATGCAACCAAGTTCATTTTGAGGCTGAGCAAACTTCGGGTCATCTAGCTGTAATTTAAAATAAGGTTAATTCAAGAATGATTGATGTTTGCAAATGAGCAAAGGATCCATTCTTGTTAATTATAAGGAAGTGGTTGTTTCCTTTTCAGAGATCTAAAATGTGGCAAGTTATACTGCATAGGTGGTTCAAAAATGCCCTCAGCCGGAAGCCTGGTGTCATTTGAATCATGCAAAGGCAGCTTTCCGAGAGGAAATGCAGAAGACGTTGGAATGGTTGATCTTGGAACAAAATGTGGAGAAGGAATGGTTAGTAAAAGATTGCTTCTCATTTCTGTGCTGTAAGGGGTAATCAGTAAAAATAATTTTGCAATGGATCTTGCTGAAAGCTGGTTTAGATTTTCTGTACTACAGTGCATCTATGTTAAAAAAAAAATATCCATCCAGCCTTATTTTTGTTTTATTATTTTGTTTTTCCTTCAAACAACAACCACAACAAATCAACAATAGCAATAGCACTTAGACTTATATATCACCTCATAGTGCTTTAAGCATTCTCTGGGTAGTTTAGAATGTCAGCACATACCCCCCAACAATCTGGCTCCTCATTTTACTGACCATGGAAGGATGGAAGATTGAGTCAACCTTGAGGCCCATTAGGATCGAACTGCAGGCTGTGGGCAGAGTTAGCCCATAGTACTGCATTCTAATCCCCGTGCCACCAGAGTTACTCGGCCTGACTTTGTCAGAGCATTATGCTTCTCCCTTGCAGCACTTTCTGGGTAGACTGTCAAAGAGACAGTCCTTTCTTTTCACTTGTAGATATTTCCACAGAGATGAGAAAATCAGGACAGAGCTGATTGTAACCTAAAGCAGGGGTCCCCAACCCCCAGTCCGTGGACCAGTACTGGGCCGCAGCATGCTAGCAACTGATCTGCACAAACAAGGAAAGCCCCATCCACAGGATGCAGGCAGCCTACAAAACCACGCACTCTGCAGTCCACGGAAAAACCTCTCTCCATGTAACTGGTCCCTGGTGCCCAAAAGGTTGGGGACCTCTGACCTAAAGGACATCAGTTCAATGAAGCTACTTAGAAGTGCTGAAGCAATCCTAAAGCTTATCTTAAAGGATCAGGAATAATTTCCTCCTGTCTTTTTTTATGCAGTATAGAAATTGGAATAAGTTTATTGAATATCCTGGTTTTGTTCTAGAGAATGACAGAGTTTAATTGTGTAGGAAACTGCTGTCTTACTCTGCTGATAATCTCATTCTTTGACTTTCAGGTCTGCAACAATGGGCAGTGTGTTGAGATAGAAACAGCCTACAGATCGACCAACTGTTCACACAAATGCACAGGACACTCTGTAAGTATTTTATAGTCTATATTCTGGCTGCTCTTTAGTAGGCGTTAAGACTGTTCTGCTTAGGGATTGGCCTATAGAAAGTTTAGAGGTTAATCCTTGACTTAGAGTAGTTCATTTAGTGACCGTTCAAAGCTAAAAAAAGTGACTTATGATCGTTTCCCACACTTACGACTGTTGTAGCATCCCCGTGGTCACGTGATCAAAATTCAGATGCTTGGCAACTGACTCATGTTTATGACCGATACTGTGTCCCATGGGTCACATGATCCCCTTCTGAGTCCTTCTGACAAGCAAAGTCAATGAAGAAGCCAGATTCACTTAACAACCATGTTACTAACTTAACAAGTTCAGTGATTCACTTAACAACCATGGCAAGAAAAGTTGTAAAATGGGGCAAAACTCACTTAACAAACATTTCACTTAACAGCAGAAGTATTGGGCTGAATTGTGGTCGTAAGTTGAGGCCTACCTGTACTGTATTCCACCCATATATTTGGCGATTTCACTTTGTCTTTCATAGTATTCTCTGCTCCTCTTTGTTCTTCTGGTTTTCTCCAGTATGGTTCTTTTTGTTTCATTGGTTCCTTTTATCACACCCCACTGTCCACCAGTCTGGGTTTTCTAGAACAATGCATATGTTGATCCCTGAAAATAAGCTATGCTTTCTTTTGATATTGGCATAAATCTGAAGCATCTGCAAATAATCCACTAGAGTGTATTTGTAAATGTTCTTGTGATGATGTTGACATCTATGTCTAAATATTTTTGTTATACTAAAAAGAAAATGAGTATTATTATGATTATTATAGATTAGGTAAAACTTTATGTATATGCGTATATGCATAATTTACATAATTTCCTTCTTATTCTTTTCTTTTTTTCTGTGGTATTGTTCTCTTTTTTCTTTGTTCTGTTTTATTAAACAAATAAAGACCACCCATCTACCCCCAAAAAGTGCTTTCCAGAATCCTTGATGCTAAAAATACTGCAGTTTTTTTTCTGTAAATTTGAATAGAACTTAGAAAGAGATGATCCTCTGTCATAAATTGGAATAGTCAAATACCAATAAATCAAATGAGAATGTCCCCTCTCTTATGGCCTTTGAGAGATCACAAAGATCTGGCACTTTCAGAAGGTTTTTGAGGACTAAAGGTAGTGCGAACCAACACCAAAATTAATTTTTATTGTATTGAATTATATTGTTCTACCTCATCAGTTTTGAATTAACATCATTGTGCTATTTTAATTTTGGTACATTTTGATAGAGTCTGATTGGAATGGGGCAGTCAACAAACTAGATGGATGGATGTATGGATGGAAGGAAGGGTAGTAAACAGAGATCTATTTGCTCTAAGTTAATATTTTCCTGATAGCTTTGAACATCACAAGAAATCTCAAAGCTTGATTTCGTTCTTTTCATCCTGCTGTCCTGTAGAAGTTCTTTGACCACAGTTCTCCTAATTTCAAAAAAAAAAGAAACACTTTGTCCATGCTGGGCTGTTGTTAGACTTAGTCTAATAAGTCAGTTGATCCCCAAGAATAGTGACTTGGCTGTTTAGATGACCTTTGGGACTGTCTAGACAGTCCCAACAGCTTTGGTAGATTAATTAATTTCTTTTTCTGTGTGGGATTTCCATTTTAAATTTGGATCAGTTTTATGTTTTAGTGCTTTCTGCTTTCTTCTGACTTCATACAAATGCAAGGGAAATGTTGACTGTCTGTTTTTCCTTGTATTTGTTCGAAGATTAATACTGCTCTTGGCTATCCTAGGTGTGTGACCATGAACTTCAGTGCCAGTGCGAAGAAGGATCAGCACCACCTCATTGTGATGACCCAACAGGAAATAATTGTGAGTTAATACAGGGAGGCACTTGTCTTTTCCCCCCAGAACCTGATTAGATAGGGTCCAGGGACCTAAATATATATTTTTTTGTGTTAAATAATCCTGATTTGAATTAGGATTTGATATCTCAGTTTTTGTATTATTATCTAGCACTGGGTATTGTTAACTATCAGCAAACTATACTTTAATTGGAAATTCCATTTTTAATCTCATTGTGCACATGAAATGAAGAGAGGAAGTTTAAGTCTATTTGCAATTTATTTAGCTATGGATAGTAAGATTGTGGTTAATTTAAAGCTACCTAATAGTGAAAGTCCAAGTATATATTTAACAGATGATCATTTGCTTTCTTAATTATCCTGGTACATCCATTTACATGACTATCTTGGGAATAAGTTGGACCTTCCTTGAACCAGAATTATTAACCAATATGGGAACTGTAGTCCCAACACATCTAAAGGTCATGGAGTAGGGTTAGACCAGGGGTAGGCAACCTTGGCTCTTTTATGACTCGTGGACTTCAACGCCCAGAATTCCTGAGCCAGCGTGGACTTCAACTCCCAGAATTCCTGAGCCAGCATGCCTGGCTCAGGAATTCTGGGCGTTGAAGTTCACGAGTCATAAAAGAGCCAACGTTGCCTACCCCTGGGTTAGACTGTGTTAGTCTTAAAGTGATGATCACTAGTTAAAGTAATTCATGAAATGACATTTATATTCCTTGTCTTCCCAGGTTAAATTTGATGTCCAAAGTTGGTTCTGAGCTGGGTGGCATCTAAATTGAATCAATAAATACTTTCTAGCCAATTCTGAACAGTGGCTCTTATTGCATGGATAAGAAATGCCAGGGCTTGGAGCAATATAATTTTCAATTGATTGTCTCTATGTTTCCACTGTGATTTCATCAGCATAACTTTAAGCTTATTCATAGCCTTTTCTCTCTATCTCTTTAGATATCATCATCATTGTTGTAGTTGTGGTAATAATTTCAGTAGTCACGGCCATCCTCCTTGCAGTTCTCTTCGGCCGCCACATTTTAAAGAAGAAACAAAATGACAGGTGAAGATTTTCTCAGCCAAGTTTCTTTTAAGTGGGGTGGGGAATTACTAGGTGAGCTGAGTGCCATAAAACAGCAGTGGTGGGTTCTCCTGACTTAATTGAGAGGATGAACATATACTGACTTGGAAAAAGTTGTATAAAGTGGATATTCAGTTCAGGAAATCTCTCACCAAAGTTACTGAAAGAACTGAATTATACTATATGTGTACAAAACAAGTTCTAGGATATTGATATTGACTTTGGTGTTGGGTATAGTTCGGAATCCTATCCTGATTATAATAGTCTATTCTTTTATGGCAGCATTCACAAAAGTGCACCTGCAGCCACAAATCCTTCTTTCCCTGGTCCAGATCAGAAGAGGAAACAACATCTTAGTCCAGTGTCCAATGATTCAAAGGTGAGAGGTCAAATGGGCTGCCTGAGCAGAATAAAACCTTCAAATGCAATCATTTTATAAAATGTTTTATCCACTGACTTCATAATAGGTCATAAGAAGAATGGTTCTTCAGTGGCAGTTTAAGGAATTGGGGATCCAGTGTGGGGTTAGAGGCTCTTCACCCCATGCACAATGCCTAGAGCAATAAAAGAGATGCTGAAACTGTGCTAAACTGGTCAAAGGCCAAAACAGTGTAATAAAAAGAATATGGGAGCTTTTCATCAACACAGAGACAAAATATTTGCATTTTTTATTTCTTATACACGGAGGGAAATGTTGTCATTGTTGCTGTGATTGTAAGATAAGGTCAATCAGCCAATTATTGTTTAAGATGCTATACAACTCTTTGTTGTTTTCAAAAACAAGAATAACACAATTGCTGTAAATACTAAAATATCATTTGCAAAATAAACTCAATAAAATGTGTTTGCAAAGAAAGCAGGCTACAAAATAATTAAGGTTAACCTTAATGGACTTCTGTATGTATGTAAAAGAGCACCTACTAGGTTTCTAACTCATCTGGCTAAGTGTTTGAAGATCTTGGCTTTAAAAATATTTTAGGTATTTTGTTTGTTTCTTCCTTTCAGATAAATTCTTTTAGATTTCTCCTCCCAATTTCATCCCAAGCAAATATACCAGAGGTCCATGTTGTAAGTAGAATTTAATGGAATAATTGTTGTGTATGAGTCTAAAGCAGTCTTTAGTTAACAAACAAAATAAATACATATCACAAAGCAAATAAAATATGCTGTGTATTGTGCACTGGTGTGAATAAATGTATATGTTACCTTGAGTCAAATAAGTTTTATTTTGTTTCACATTAACATGATCTGTGGATCACATTATTGTGATTTATCAATCATGGTTTATGGTTTAATGTAAACTAAGCATTGTGGCTCATACAATATATTTTGATTAGAACAAATTATAGCTTTTTGTGATATGTGAATATAGTTACTTGACAAATGGGAAGGATTTTAAACAAATATGAAAACTTTTCTTTGTAATTTATTAATGTTAATTTGGTTGCAATGCCCATTGGACTCAACGTACTTCTTTATGAGCAAATATAGAAGAATGTAATTGTACTTTAGAAAAATAGATATGTACATAAGAAAAAGTTTTTCAAACTTGACAGCTTTAAGATAGGTGGATAGTTCCAAGAATTCAAGCCAAGATGATCTAGAATGTTGCAAATGAAAAACAAATTATCTGCAGACTTTTAAACTTGATTCTTGAAAAATCTACACTATTGTTCTGAAACACAATAAGTGATAGTTTAAATTATTATTTGCTTTCTACACTCTAAATCCCTGTATAGAGTAAGGATAATCTGCATAATTTCCAGTGTTTTAGAAACATCATGATTCTTTCATCAGGGCGTTCTACAAAATTAGGGAGTTCACACAGGCTTTTAGAAATTCAACTGATACTATTTCATTATTAACAGAAAGTCCCAGATGAACCATTAAGGCACACGTATGAAAATGCCAGAATGGTAAGTTTCTGAATGAATGGTCATTTGATCTAACAATTTCAGAATAATGATAGACATTGCTTCTGATTCTAATTCCCTGATATTTTTTTTTTCCTTTTTGGAGTATCATGCCTCATTCTGTATAGCCTATAGAAAAGTGAAAATCATATGGGATGAGTATTTTTGAAGACAAAAAAATCACCTATTCTTCATCTACAAACACTAACATGGAGTATTATGCTTAAATTTCCCAAACATGACTTTAGGAAACAAATCTAGACAAAATAAAGAAACTACAAATTTCTTCAAAGAACCACGGGAATTGCTTGCTTTGTGAAAATGCTGAGACTTCCGAGTTCATACAATTGCACATTTGATGGAGAGAGAAAGGGAATAAAGGTTAATTTTTGTTGCAGACAGATGACTCAAATTTTAAGCCTGACAGGAAATGTGATCGATGTTGAAAGCACTTTTTAAAATGCATCTGGACTACTGTGTGTAAAGGCAACTAAAAAAAGCTTCCATTTTTTTTTTTCATTTCAGCCCATTGTGAAACCAAATATTCCTCCACCTCCTGTTCCAACAGCAAAATCTACCATATCTCCAGCTATGGTATGTCAGCTTCCTAATCATCACTCTTCCAACATATTTTGTTCCTTTATAGCAGGATGCTAGGGTGAAGCTTTGTGATAATAACTCCTTCTAGCCAGTGCGAAGTTTTCACTTTTCCAGCCTGCCGGATGAAAAATAAGGCAAAGAACTGCACTGGGAGGAAAAAAAAAATCAACTGGTGGGTTTTTTAAATGGCCCCGACCCTCCAGGGATTGTGCCTATCCATATAGTAGCTTAAACTGCTAGTTGAACACGGCAGTAATTCAGTCCTTTCTTCCTAATGCCGAGAAAGGACATAAAACCTTTGGAAGGTTGCATATCAGATCTAGGTCTGAGTTGCATTGTGGTCTTATTCTTGAATATCCATCTACTTAGGATAGTTAACCTATGATTGTAACTATAGGAAAAGAACAGGCAGAGCTGGGGGGGATGGAGTTAAATGAGTTTAATGTCAGGCACAAAGAAACAGGATCATTCATAAAGTTGGAGCATAGAAGATTTATTCAAATCTATACACAAGAATCTGGTCAACTAATGGTCAACATTAAATTGGCACTAGGTAAGGGTCAACAGAATTCAAGAGGGGAGCTCTTGTGACAATGCAGGGACTCTAAACTGATAAAGCATTTAACTCCACTCTCCAATTCTGCCTGCTCTTCTGGACAGTGACAGAGTGATGGTATTCCCATGCAAACTTTGTTCAAACTCCAATTTTAAAGGGAAAAGGTTTGAACATGTTCCATTATTAAAATACTTCTTTCCTCCGTATATGAACTTAAGGGGCCAAAATAATATTCACTTTCAAGATTTTTATCCTTGAAAGTTCCTTTTTCAAAGAAACAACTTCCCATAAAAAAAACTGAAGCCATCCAATCTTATTGTAAAAATTGTAACCCTTCGTCATGAATTGCCTTTCAAGCTGTGATTTCCACTCTTTATAATCAGCTAAGTTGTTTAAACACATAACTCTGAAGATCTTGGGTTACAAAGTTTCTTGCAGATAAATTATCCAAGAATGGTGCCAGAATGTGGGCATTAGGCAGAAGCTGGTTCATTTCTTGAAATGTTATATATCACAATAACATCTGTACTCCTTGATGCTGTTCTTTTTTACAACCAAACCAAGTTTTAGATCAGGACTGTACCAAGGTTTAACTAGAGATTAAAAATGGCCTTCCATAATCAATGTTGCAGCTGCCAAATTGTATGCAGAATGTCCTGGAGCAAAATGCTTGGCCCTCTTTCATTTGGTACTTAAGGTCTCATACATTAAAGTTCCAAATCTAACCCCACAAAATGACCCTTTGCCAGTTCAGTTTTTCAAATATGACCCTCAACTTTCCATACAAATCCTGGTGCAGGCAAGTGTAAAGTCAGTGACCAAGGGAAATTCAATGGAAACATTTATTTGTAACTTATTTGTTTATTTGTTAAAGCTATAAACTACTGAATCAACCAAGGATTCTTGGCTGTTTGCAAATGGCAGTTTAGCAACAATATACTCCACATATAGTAAATGACTGGTTAATATTTAACAGGAATAATCTGACATTTCTCTTATAGATAAAAAGAATAAATCCAGCTCCTTCTTCTCACCTCAAGTCTAAGGCAGCTCCTCCTCCTCCTCCACCTCCACCCCAGGTAAGAGACAGGTATTCTGTGAAAATACAAAAATGATAAAGATGTTAAAACATAGAGTTATGACTTTTTAATTGGTAGAGGTAGAAAGATTGAGAGGCTATACTTTGTTTTCATGTGACAAGATTACATTTGGGCAGAAAAGTGCCATTGTTGAAAATGGCAACATATGATCTTTGATGCACAGATCATTAACAAGAATAGTACAAAGGGTATTGTGACATCTAAGCTAACATTTCCAAGGTCAAATAATTTAGTTCAGAGAAACTGCCTTTCTGGGATGAAGAAGTTATCTGTGGACAAATGGAACTAAATCTACTAGTTCTTTGTTTGGAGGTGGTGCAGCAGTTAGAGTATAGTACCGCAGGCCACTTTAGCTGACTGTGGTCAGCAGGTCAGCGGTTCAAATCTCACCGGCTCAAGGTTGACTCAGCCTTCCATCCTTCCGGGGTAGGTAAAATGAGGACCCAGATTGTTGGGGGCAATATAAATATATATATATATATTGCTTACTGGTGTACACCGCTTAGAGAGCGCTTGCACTTAAAGCGGTATATAAGTCTCATAAATAAATAAATTTCTAAAATAAAGCATCTGGAGACTTGGATGGATGGGTGCATACTGGCTCTGTTGGATGTAACTTCTCCCACTGATTCCCCCCCCCCCAAGCATGGTCATCCACTTGATTAGTCTAAAGCTATCATAATCAATACACATAGAGTATATTTTTTTCAGAAAAAAATCAAAACAACAAGAGAAAAGCTATTGCTATTTTAGATGGGGAAAATTTCTCTTCATTACCTGTTTATTGTGGTGCAGTAGCTAAGTGGTTAAGATGCTGGGCTTGTTGGCTGGAAAGTTGGCCACTCAGTTTCAAGACCCAAGTGCCACATCATGGGGTGAGCTCTCGTCCTTGCCCACCTCCTGCCAAACATGCAAATGCGAGTAGAAAAATAGGTACCACTTCGGTGGGAAGGTTACATTGTTCCATGCACCTCAGTATGCAGTCATGCTGGCCACATGACCACGGAAATGTCTTTGGACTACACTGGGTCAATGGCCTTGAAACAGAGTTGGCAATAGCTAGTGGAGTAAAATCTGCAGGACTCCTACCTGTTTATTGCTTCCTTCCCTATTCCACTCTGGTTTGTTTTCCACTTTCAGGATTGATGGCTTGAATCAATTTATAATGCTTTGCTTTCAGTCATTTATTTCAACATCTGTTTGCTTTTGTTTGCAGGCACTGAAGCCCACTAAGTAATCTCAGGGTATGAAACAAAACAAGAATCAGAAATAATACTGATTCTCTGATTTCAAAGAAAACATTTTCCATTTTCTTGGTTCCCATATCTGCAAAGGAAAACTGAATGGCGAGTTCTTTCCACAAGTCTAATACTTCCTCTGCAGTGTGGAATGTCGTGTTAACTTTGGGGACAGCATCACCTGCAGTAAGGATGGGAACTCATAGGAAGATCTTCAGTGTTCTTCCATTATATCTTTGGATATCAAATGGGGAGATCCTACTAGAGTTGGGATGATTTTGTGAATTGTGAACTGAGCCAAAAGATGCATAGAAGGAAATGATGCATCCATGGATTTAAACCCCCATCATTGCCAACTGTAGACAAAATCAAAACTAAAGAAAGGTTTTTTTTGATGCTTGATGCAAGTGGAAACAGAAACTATCCCGCCTATTGAATTAATCACTATATTCTCTTGGAGTACAAAATGACTGAGTCTTGCAGGATGCCACCAGATTATTTGACATGAGCAAAAGCTGATCCCTTTGAACCTTCTCGCTACCTGTGCAAACAAGAAACACTAGGAAGTCTAGTGCCTATTGTTTATTGCTCAAGGACTTTTCAAGGTACAATTTTGTTAGCTCTGCCAACTTTTTTCACTAGACTCTGCTCATATTCCCTAAGGCCACATGTGACCTTTGGCTTGATTTCAAAAGCCATTGGCAAGTGAGTCTTTCAGGCTTCTAGTAGAGATGTTTAACCCTTTAAACATCTTTGATCATGCAATTGAAGCCCACTCCCCTTTTTTTACATATCTGCGTTAAAAGAGGTAGGGCATTTACGGCATAGCTCAGCTTTCATCTGGACTTTTTATACCCATGGATGCCCCTGAGTATAATTCTAAAGGACCAGCTGTAATCTGCAATAGGCTTCCATGCTGTCAAAATCTTCTCCCACTGATTCTTGCAGATCAACCTTCTTATAAAGGGAAAAAGTAATGAACATCTGCAGAAAAAAAAAACAATCTCAGAGAACACCAAGGAGCCAATAATTAAACATTGAGCTGCATATATTCTTGATTATTTAAAAGGAGAGATAGAGACAGATCTGAAGAGCTGATAACTCTAAATAATAGGATTTCATTATTAGCACTGAATAGCTGAGATTCCCTTGGAGCTAATTTTAAGTACTTCCTTTTTGTTACATTACAATAAAAAAAAAAAAAACATTTAAATGTTTAGACCTTTCAAGGATAACATTTTCATTAAGCAGCCAAATTGTTCATGGGTTAAAATGATAGGAAAAGTTGGGAGGCAGGATTTCATAAAGCAATACAATGTTTTTTTTTAATGTGCTACTGTTTGAAAAGGTCAGTTGTGAGACTAAAGGAGATATTGGGATAAGTGCAATAGGAGCCAATAGATTTTAAGTGATTTGAAAAAAAAAAATAGGTCAAGGAACAGAACCAAAAGTACATAATTTTATTGATTTTTTTTTGTATTTTTTTAGTTATGTTTTAAATAAGGCCTCTTCTGAAATCCTCCATATCTAAATTTCTTTCTGAGTTTGTAAGCTTTTGAACGATTGATCCTGTCCGTAATTTTCCATTGTATTTTTATGTGGAAGAGGAAGTGACACTGTTTGCTCAGTTTTCACTCCATTCATGTTTCTTCCTTCTCCCTTCTTCATTTTGCACATGAAAAAAAACACTGCAAAAAAACCCAACCTTGATACACTTTTCCACATCCACACGATTTTATATGTTGCTTGCCTATTGCAAAAAAACACACAGAATGCGAAGGAATTATGATGCCCCTTCTTAGGGTATCCCAAAGCTGCTGCTTTACAGTGCATTTTACTGTCCATTTTGCTCAATAGGAGGTGCAAAGGTATCAAAGAAATTGAGGCTAACCTGTACATGTTTAGGAAATGTCAGTTAAATTGGAATTTGAGAGGAATGGCATGGAGAGCTGCCTTGATCGCTGCAGCTGGTGACTTACATTTTTCAGCATGCTTAGAGATTTCTAACCCTAAGCAGAAGATGAGAAAAATAATGACATCTAAATGAATCAAAGACTGAGTGCAAATGTCTCTCAGTCTAAGTTGGGAATACTTTGCATACAGTATGTGGAAGATATGACTAGGACAGCATAAACCTGTGATTTGGATTTTCAGCTTGAAGGCAGTTGGATCAACTTTCCAACCAGAATAATAGAATAATGCAGTTGGAAGGGACCTTGGAGGTCTTCTAGTTCAACTCTCTGCTCAGGCAGGAAACCCTATCAATTCATATAACTGATTTTCTGAATTGAGTTGAAATTAGATTTTAAAGTGTTTCCAAAATAACCTTTGGTTCTGAGTAAGCATCTCATGCTCAGTCAACGAAAGTTACATCATCTTCAGAAAGACAACAGTCTATTAAATTACAACTTACAGTCAGTACCATTATAACTAATTACAATTAGAATTACATACTTTAAATAGTTTTCTAACTTGGCACCTTCAAAGTGGTCAGATGGATAATTTGACCATCTTAGAATTTTCTAAGCAGCACCACCATTTTACAAGGCATGGAGAGGTAAGCTCTTGGCATGAAAGTCAACATTGCCTGATGAACAGAGAAACATATGGGCATTTGTGAAATTGATGGGGCATTATTCTCCACTGCATGTCCTCTGCACCACAAATAGCCCAGTTTGACACATGGAAATAACCATAAAAGGTGCCTTATCTATACTGATTGTACCTCTTCTATCACTTCTCTTCAAGTGGCATTATTTTATTCTAGAGGAGAGCAGGGCAGATTCTTCAAGTGTCAAATGTTTTTTTTTTTTTTAAATGAATTGTCTTAAAAGATTTCAATGTTTCACATGTTCTTGTATGTGGATGCCAAAACTTTGCATGCTCTGATCTGAAATTTTGAATTATTTCATTGTCGAATACTGACATCGTGTGGAGTTTGGCACACTTGGCTGTTTTCATAGAATTAAACATATTGCTTTTTAATTTTAGGTTTCCATGTATGCATAAATACATGTAGGAAACCTCAAGTCCAATTTGGGTGTCAAGTATCAATAGAGGATATTCATTTCTGTTAGGAGAGTGGGAGCATATATACTGTCCAGGTGACAGTTATCACCAACCCTCCCTCAAGTACGATTGCTAGATTAGAAGAGGAAGGGGCATTTGCATTGGCTTGAATTTAAATACAGGGTAGTCCTCAATTTACAATGGCAACGGAGACTAAAATTTTCATCACTGAGTGATGTGGTCATAAAGGAAGGGTGTACAAGAAGTTCTGGTTGGGAAAGGGATTCCAAAGACCCGTCATAACTCCCATTCAGAATCACCATAATTTCAAATTGCTGAGCCAATGGTTGTAAATCGAGGACTACTGCAGACGTACCCATGAGATTAGATTTTCTAATCTATTGGGATTAGAAAATTAGTATACATTGTACATACTTGTCATCTTGAGAACTGAGAATTTTTAATGGGAAAAAGCAGGGTGTTGGCAAAAAAAGAATGCTTGCAGATGAAAAGTAGGATTCTACTTCTCCTCTTGGCCTCTGTGATTTCTCTGCAGTTTCTCCCCCAGGCCTGTAGGACTGTTAGAAGCAATTGGCAAATTGCTAGTCTGCTCAAACTCTCAAGTTAAATGCAGATAGACTTAATTTTTCATTGAAATCTGCCTTGCAATTTCTCAACCGTTTGACCACTGTAAATAAAGATGTTCTTCCGTTTTCTTTTCAGAATGCTTGTGGGGTTTTTTCAAACTTTCCTGTTTTTTTTTTGTTGGTTTTTTTGAGCTTATTTTATTGTTGTCATTGGCAGTGGGGATTTCTCTTAAACCTTGTACAATGAGATACAGGACATAGTTCCTCATCTCTTTGGCATTTGTAACTAAATCACTGTAAGACCACATTCTACCTATCTCAGCAAAATTTGGCAGAATATATTCTAATTTGCCATCTTAAAGAACTGGTAGAATGAAATTTGGGGAAACGTTCCTCCATGGCATTAGATAAATTATTGACATGCCCAGTCTTTCGCTCCATAGAATTCAGTGGAGCCAGTGCTGGGTGAGGTCTTGTGCCTGAGATAAATAATTTTTCCATTGATTGTTTGTTCCCTTTCCCTTCTCCCAATGCCAACCTGTGCAATTATTTTTGTTTCCTTTGCACAAACACTTTTACATCTAGTTAAATTGTGATTTAAAATATTATGTTATTATCTGTAAAATATGTATTTGGAATAATATCTCTATTTAAAATGTTCTTATATAAAACTTTGCTTATAAAAATAAATATGACCATGTCTTTCTTGTTAAGATGCAGATATTTGTGATCTGTTCCCTTTAGTGGATTTATGACCCTCCAGGACTAACAAGAACCAGGCCATCCTGGAACCACATTTTTCAAGGCTCATCTTAGTTATGGTTACAAGAATCTCCACAGACTCTTAGTTAGAACAAATGTATCTAATCAGCATTAACAAAGTCAACATTTCCTTTTTTTTTCATCACTAGTATAAAATCCGGAAGTGATATCCAAATAAAAAACATAATTAAATGTAGTCTCCTCTTTGAATAGAACAATCAATTTAACCATTTCTGCTTCATCTTCCTTGCTGTGGAAATAATATATATTTCTATTTGCACTTAATAATCTTTATAAACTATCACCATTTATATTAACAAGATTCATGTATTCTTTCAGAGTCTTTAACCATAAAAGGAAAAAAATACTTTTTTTCATCCATTTTAGAAATAGAAATATTTCTAAATATTTTAGAAATAGAAATATTCCTAAAATAAGAACATTCTAATAGATTAAAAAAACCTTCCTCTTAACATACATACTTTGAAGTTCATTTTCAGACCAATAAAATTCCAACTAATTCCAATTAATTCATTAAATTTAGATCACTCCCCCCAAGTTGCCCTCATAGAATAATTCTGTCAGGTTTTGGGCAGGACATTTTTTGAGGGAGAGTTGCCTGGAATCCTGAAAGGTGAGGGGAACATTTTATCTCAGACAAGGTTAGAAATTGAGGAGTTAGACTTTTCAGTTAGAATAGCCCTTGAGTTTCAGCTGAGGGGCGAAGAGGTGGAAAAGATGGAGGCGAGTTGACCAATGCGAGTGGGCAAGCCAGTGACTAAAGGGGCATCAGACATCTCAGTGGACCGTTGAGGTGGCCTGAGTTGGGCTATCAGTGGGATATCTTGACTCCAGAAGCTGTGGGTGCTCCATCTCTGGAGGTTTTCAAGAAAAGACTGGATATTCATTTGTCCAGTTATAAAGTCTCCTGCCTTGGCAGTGGGTTGGACTAGAAGATCTCCAAGGTCCCTTCCAATCCTATGAATCTATTAAAATGCTAAGTGCTGACTCCAAATAAAGATTGTCTGAATTCAAAAAGGTGCAAATTCCCCAATTTCAGATTCCTACATTTTCTATGTTTTAAATAAGCTATTTGTTTAAGTAAGCTTTCCATTGTACTGAAAAACTCAAGAGGGCATTAAAAGTCATCGGTTATAAAGATTTAGATTTTTAAAAAGTGAACTGTATTTTTTTTTTAAAAGATGTTTATCTGTAAAACAATCCTGACATCTACTGCTCACGAGTTTCAACTGCATTCTTAAACACAATAACACATGATTTGCTTTCCATATGTCAGTAACAATGTTTGATAGTTATTCCCTCATATTAGGCAAGACGATTTTGTGAACAACAGAGCTAAATGAAGTCTAACAGATATGTGGATTTTGGCAATGTAAACACAGTAAAGGTTGCATTTCTGGTGCCAGCTCTTCTTTAAAGACTTTGTACTGATGACATGCCGGGTAAAATTCAAGAGTATTTGGCTATGGTCAAGGAATTAAAATCAGATTGATTCAATAATAACAACTTAAGATAAGACTCAGAATGACCAGGACATTTAATAAAGAATAGAAATAATAATTCTTGGCAAATATCTGCATAGAGAAGGCAATGGAGTGAATAACAGTGCAGAATAACATGGAGCTGGAAGCTGAAACATATGATGAATAGTGGCAGGAACTAGTCTTAACAAAAAGGACTACGGGTGATATAATAACAGTTTTTCAATATTTAAGGAGCTGTCACAACAAAGAGGGGAACAACCTATTCCCCAAAGCATCTGAGGGCAAGACAAGAAGTTATTAAAGAGATATCTCACCTAGAACTAAGAAGAAGTTTCCTGACAGTGAGAACAATTAACCAGTGGAAAGGGTTGCCTTAGGAAATTGTGGCTGCTTTATAACTGGAAGCTTTGAAGAAAAGATTAGACAGCCATTTCTCTGGAATGGTGTGGGGTTTTCTACATGAGCAGGAGTTTGGACTAGAAGACCTTGAGAGGTCCCTTCCAACTGTATTATTCTGTCATCCTGATATTATTTTGTTATTCTGTTATGTTCAATCATTTCACAGTCTCTGCTCAAAGGGGATTTTTTTTAAAATATTTTCTTTCAGTAATGCCTGTTGGGAAGGCATTGAATCTGGTTAAAGATAAAGCTCTTCTGAATTTTAGAATCTTTAAATGGCTAAAACATCTAGATCAGTGGTTCTCAACCTGTGGGTCGGGACCCCATTTGGGGTCGAACGACCATTTCACGGGGGTCGCCAAACAACGCAGTCCGCCACTTTTTCCCTCTTTTCCTTAGCTACATACTTTTATTCTATTGGCTTTTCAAAGCCAATAGAATAGACTCTCTTGAATAGAGTCTAATTCTATTGGCTTTCAAAAGCCATTAGGAATTGTCCAGGCTGTCTCTGCCCTGCTGAGCCCGCCAAAAGTCCCATTCTGCAAACGGTGCTGCACCAGTTGAGTAGTCCTCGACTTACGACTGGTTGAGTAGTCCTTGACTTACGACCGGTTGGGGGTCGCGGCATTAAAAAGGTTGAGAACCACTGATCTAGACGGTTGGAGAAGGTGTGCAGAGTAGGTGTTTCTGGGTAGAATTGAAAAGTCTGCTTGCCTCTTCCTGCACCACTTTCTAGCACGGTGCACAATCTGAAACCTACTTATCTTCTTTGCCCGTAACATCACCCCTGATATACAAAGGGGACATGGGCTTTGAAGCTCCTCTAGAGAGAGACCTGGTTTAGCTCCCTATTGCCTCTAATTGCTCTTCTTGATTTCAAACAAAGTCTTTCTTAATTCTGCAGATGTCTTGGATCAAACCAAAATAACCTGAATGAAAGAAACTGATATTCTTTGCTTTAACTATAACAACTAAAAGAGCAGTAATGATATTTTCACTCTTAATAAAATAAATGATAAGGCACTATCTTACTTCAAACCATCGCATGCACTGATGCTTGCAGTTGAGTCAGCATCATTCTGGGTGTCCATGATAATAGCAGTGATCCTGTATGGAGGCAAGTGGACTACACTGGTTAAAGATTGTTTGCAGTGTGATTTGATGAGCAGAAGTATAGATCCAATGTATTCCACCACATCAATGAAATAAAGAGTAAGACAGCAACTAGTCCAGAATGATTGAGCGGGACAGAAAACCTGCTTAGTATTGATTGTTCAAAATGATAACCAACAAAGAAATAAAAAATGATCTGTTCAAATAACAAGCTCTTTTCTCCACCAACCTTGTCTTCTTGGGGTCATAATTCTTTAAAAAAAGGCTTAAAAACTCTCTCTTCTATATCATTTGGACTGAAAAAGCCATTACCCCTATGTTCACATAGTTTACTATTTGTCAGGCTCAAGAAACCAGGAGGCAGGATAGTTTATTCCGCACAATCTATTTATAAGAATTTGATCTACTAATGGTCAGTGCAAACTGGCACCAGGTAAGAGCAAATGGACTTCAAAGGGAGGCTCAACTTGCTTTGCCTACATCTAAAAACCAATGAGAAAATGGCCAAGTTTCAGCATTTGAGATTTAATTAGTTGAAGGTAAGGTGATTAAGAGTCGATATTAGAGGAGATGGCTTTCTTAGAGTCTCATCCCTCCATTTTGACTTCTCTTTTGGAGTAGGAAAAGCTCCTCAGATAGAATCACTAAAAATTGCTTACTTGGCCCCTGGTTCTCTTAATACTCTCTTCAAATCCATAATTCAAAAGAATCTACTTTTAATTTTCTTCAGTTCCAGATTTTACCGCCATCTATTAAATCCCATTTCACCACTTCCAGAGTTGTGGGTGCTCCTTCTGACCCAGATCAGTGAGTAAGAGTAACTCACTTGTTCAGTTAAAGCTTCCGCATGCAATGTTTTGTAACAAAAATGCTTTTTAAAAACACATTTTTCATCTTTTCCTAGCATTTGCCTTTCCCTCGTCTTCAAAAATCTTACAAAAACTTCAAGTGTGTTTTACCATTTGCAGCTTAGGAAGACGTTATTCCTTTAGTGCTGAATCAAATTGCCTCATTCTTAACATAGTAAGCTTTAAGGTGAAGAAATGTGAAGGCTAGCATTAATATATTTGATAATATATCTTAGGGTGTGGAGTTATTTTATATATTTCCAAGACTATGTTTTTACCATTTCTTTGCTCGTATTTATTTCTTTGCTCATATTTATGTAGTGTATATTGGAGGTGGTGACCCTTTGAGAGCTGCATGCAATGAAATTACATTTTAATGTATGCCAACTAGTGTACATTCAAAGTGATAATAAAGTTATTAAAGTTATTCTTTTCTCTTGTAGCTCAAGTCATTGCAAAGGAGGAGACAGATTCTTCTTTTTTATATCTCTAAAATAGCTACAATTTGAGATAGGTTGGACTAAGAGAGCAACCAGCTAAAAGTGATTCATGGTTGGGGATAAGCTGAAAGTTGGATCACCCCGATCTAAGCACAACATCTTAGTTGCTATGCTATACTGCCTCCTCTCAATGGCAACTGCCTGGCAATCCTTACATATACCACATGGATAGAGAACTTTCTCTTCTGAAGACCACATGGCTTGCTGGTTTGGAAGTTGGAAGCTACAGAGGTTGGTCTCATGTTCATAAGGGTACCTTTGCTCAGCTTCATATATGCAAAAGTCATATTGGCATAAACCTTAGTTTCTCTCTTGTCATCTCTCCACCAAACTTGAAAAGTAGCAATGATAAGTCTTCCTCCAGTTTCCCAATCATCCCTTGAATAGCATGGGTTTCTTATTGCCATAGCCACTCAGAAACTGATGATGTATTCTCAGTTTTGCCATTAATCAGCTGAATAGCAAAAATCAAATTACCTGATTGCTGTCCATTAATAGTAGAAAGAATCTCATGACCGGTTTCCTACTGATCAGCTGATCCTACAAGTCTTGGTTTGGTAAACTGCTGTCCTTAAACCACTCAAAT